TTTTCGAATATCGTCTGCTGGGGTTGGTAATGAACAAAGTTTGCAATTTTTTTGCGGAAAGGTGATGTTTGTTTTTTTGTCTGTGGCTTTTTTTTTTATAAACACAATTTCCTGACTGTAGTTTTAAATTCGTTAACGCAAACCCCTTAAACATTTTGCAAGTTTCCCTCTAGCAATGACTTTTAGGGGAACTTAATTTCTGCAACGTTCCCGTTTAAACTGGGAAAATTGGGTTTGTGCAATGATGATTCAAATGAGTCCTAAAATGTCTGATACGTCAAGAGATCACCACAAAATGTCGGCATAGAAATTGTTGGCAACTTGTGATGAAATGAATTAGACAGCGGTATGCTGGTTCTGTCTCCAATGTAGTCCATATGCTCGCCGTGATTGCTGGATGATGGTTCCCATCGTGACGAGTGGTTGATATTGTTTCTGTCTACGTCTCTTGCGGAGTCTGATAAAACCTTGAATTTCTTATTTTTCTGTAGTTGACGTTTGACACGAATGTTGTACATAGCGGTTTCCTTCACCTCTACTGCTGTATTTTCGGTATCAATCTTGTTTAAAATGTCTGCATCAGTACTCGCCAAAGAAAGCATAATGTTTTCGATTGTTTTGATGAGAAGCTCTCACTGCTTGTAGATTATGAAGATTCATGGCGGTTTTGGTTCACGGCACCATAAAATGTGAGGACGTGATCCTGAGTAAAACTAGGCGTTGTGTCAGTTCGTTTCCTTTTTTCAAACTGAATGTTTACATACATAGGAAATGACGTTACGTTAAAAACATAAATAAACAATTTGCGCAAAAGCGACGTTACGTGACGTCGCGCCAAATCTACAACAACATGTATGGCCGTTGATATTTGCTTTTTTTCAATGTACAGACATCTATCAGAGTGATTACATTCTAATCAAAAGTTTAAAGCAAGTGAATTTACCATAGAGCAGACTTCCTATATCCATATTAGATGTAACATGATAAATATAAGTATGTTTTGATTTCTTATTTATGATAAATATTATGTAAACTTGTGTAGATGTAAACTTGTGTAGAATATCTTATGTATTTACCTCTACTCGATTTTGATATCAATGTTTTGATTTCTTATTGTTTACATCTATATCTGAACTTGTCACGTGTTATAAACATAAATCACACACCGCGTGTACGCGTGTATACAATTCTGCCCGAGCCGTCCGATATCCATTCATAAACAGCTGGTTTGCGCACTATCAACTACACTATATCGAATTTGACCTACAAATTAACCAAGCACAACAGTGGTGATTGAAGTTGCTTATCAAATGTATTACGCATTTTAATCATATTTCAAGTAAAATAATACATCACTTTTCATATAGAATGTGTATATAGTGTATATATGTAGGGACAAAAACTACTGAATGCAAAACTGTTTTGTGTACAACATTCATTATGATTCATCAACATATAAGCTACAAAAACGAACTTTCTCCTCATTTTTTATTAATATTTACTATATTAATGTAGTATGTCCGTACATATGTTATAGTAATCTAAGGGAAAGAAGCCAGTTACTCCTATTTTACATGAAAGGCAGAGTTACTCCGCCTATTTTGACAAATTTATAATTGTTGTATATATGTACATACATAACAATGATATAGAGGGACGTTTTAATCACTCCTAGCTTATTTGTACATTATATCTAAAGGACAAACTAGCCATTTTTTTTTAATATAGAGTTATGAATGTCCCTTATCGACTATGTTTTTCTAAGTAAACATTTTAAGTAATATTTCGCAATATTCACAGTCGATATTGAATCTTGCATTAAGTTAGCAAATTTTGAATAGATTTCTTAAAGGCAGAGAACCCTTTTAGTTTTAAGATACCTAATTATCATCCTTTCAGTTACTAAAAAACCTTAAACATGTTGTTTCCAGTCAGTCTAGAGCTACCCATTCACCGCAAAGCGCATGTAATATCTTCCTCTTATATGCCAATAACTTATATATTTCAGACTGATATATAAGTAAGGGTAGTAAAATCGTTTAAGGTCTGATACCATAAACAAATTGACAAACATCGTCCATCAGGCACGCATCACTATTGTAAATAATATTATAGCTTTATTTATTTATTTTTTATTCATTTATTTTTTTTCTTCTTGTTTTTTTTCTCTTTTATTTCATTTGCTTATTTCTCGTTCTTTCTTGACTTTTTTTCACATCTTACCTATTCTCGCTTTTTATGAGTATGGTTCTCCTTGTTGCAGTGAATGGAGTCATTGGTCTTCGTCAGCCTTTTATTAAAATGTTGTCAATCGTCTTGTCGGAGCGCTGTTTTGCGGCGGCACGTCGCGGCGCCAAATTAATTTATACTAAATAACTTGACTTTATGATATGATATTTAACAGTGTTTGCGCGCCGTGACACGATGTGACATATCATTTAGCACTTCTGATTATTGACTTCCTTAAACAATATATTTATTCTTATAAACTCATACAAAACTCGGAAAATAAAGTATTTTTGCATTTCACTTTGCTCAGTGTCCAACACGTAAATCTTGCATACCTTTTATTGATGCTACTTCTTTCGGACAACATTCATCCGCATCCGGGACCAGATGAACCATCTTTAAGCGAATCGCTTTTTGATAGTGATTCCGATGTCAGCATCCATGAAATACTTAATAACGGCATGAGCATAATGCACCTTAATATAGCAAGCCTTGCCCCTAAGCTAGATACGATTTGTAATGTCCTACAATGTATAATTTTGTAAATAAAATATTGTTTAAACTAATTAAAATAAACATTCTTTAAGAATATCTACGTTCAATGGGCACATAACTCTGCAAATAGGCAAGACATAAATATATTCGTGTGTTGGGGTTTGATGCACATAATGCATGTTAGTTTGTCCACGAACTTCTATAGTTATATCATAATTTTACTTGTTAATATATAAAGCTTAAACATCAATTTAACGCTGGTTTAAAAAAAAATAACATACTGTTGCTCTAGTAAGATTGACAATAAATAATTCACATAATCTATGATATTTTTTTTTATATACCTTTTTACATTTATTTATTTTATTTTTATGCTATTTTTTTTTTTTGCGAAATAGGACACAAAACAGGACACATGTATTTTTATATGATTCTTTCATGTTGTGCTGTTGGTTTCAATTGCATAAAGATTATTAATTATTATAACATGTTTTGTGATTTTAATTGTTTAGGTGCATCCGTGTCGCTAGTAATAGACGGTGGTATGACAAGTTTTCAAGAGGGTACGGATGTGACTCTAATATGCACGATATCTCCATATAACAATGTAATGACATGGCTTGTGGATAACGATGCATACGCTGACTGCTTCCTAGGCTCATGTGGTGTTTCTCCAAACAAAACCTACACATTCATATTCAACTTTACTGAAAGTGATGGGGAATTTAGACTCACTATAGAGTCAGTAAATTCTACTTACGCTGATCTACTTTTTGCATGCGACGACGGAAATGAGAGGAAATCCATAACTTTCAACGTGACAACAGGAGGCCATTTTTTATTTAACTTTTAGCATAAATGTCGATAAATTGTGAATCAACAACACAATGATCACACACAGTAGATTTTAGGTAGAATTACTGTCTTACACGGATTTTATTTTTATTTATGACGCGTTTGTGCTAGATTACAACATCAAGTGAGGTTAACATTAAATTGGTATTTCTATATAAATGTTAAATGAATAATAAATCTTAACAGAGAAATAAAAACAAAGATTACATTAAGATATCAAAATGCTGGTTCTTTGTTGCTGGAATTTGTTGGGGCTGCGTTCATTAAATGACGCCATTCTGTGTTGATCTGTGTCCTTACATTTAAAAGTCTTAAATTAAAATCAAATATACCCTCAGAACTCGTTCGGTCAGAAGAATCACATATAACACCCAACGTCTCATTTCCAAATGGATAATATGGCCTACGACTGCTATACATTGAGCTTAAAAAGTAAGGAAATGTCAGTTAAATAACTTTCTAAGAAAATGTCCCATTCAATGATTGGTGTTATACTTCCATGACACTTAATTAATTTAATTAGAATTTATAATACATGTATCAAATAAGACCATGCCGAAGCCTGAGGGAATTTGTTAGTTTAAATACACCACATAAACTATTTTCATCTGAAAATAAATCATTATTGTCATTCTCTGATGCATTGTCCCGCCCCAACCGGTGGGGGTTCTTTACCAGACTTAGTGTTTGAGGATGTTCTACTATGTGCTTCACTGCTTGGACGATAAACAGCATATACTGGAACCGTCTTGCAAAGGGATTTATACGACCAAGCCTGAGACATTGTGCAATTTTTATTAGGTTATCTTTTTACATGATTCATGCTGAAACACTAAGTGTAGAAACCACACCGGATTCACCAAATTAACAATTTACCCGGATCAGAAGGGTATTTATTCCATCACATATACTTTTTTATCATAATTATCAAGTTTCACAACTGTCATATTCGAATATTGAACTACTCTCCAGCTGATGCTGGAATTAGTCCATCCGGTGCTGTCTTACCAAATCGGACGCCAGCTTTTGATTAATGCCTTCCTAGAAAGTGTTCATCATGACGACCAACACTTTACCGACTTCATTTAAGTTTCCATTTAATTTAATCAAAATATACCCAAACACTTAGTGTATAAGTAATTGCTATCTCAATAAGTAAAACATTGAAATAAATTATTTATACGAATATATAATCGTGCAATGTGCTGTATAACCCATTCGGTAATGCCGAAGTCTTGGTTCCCATAAAACTATTGATTGTCATAATTTTTTCTCAAGCATGCGATGAATAAAAAAAAACTTAACTATTCGATCCTAAATTGAATGTCTTATTGAGTGACCGCTACTTTTTAGTGTTGCCTCTTGGCCACCAGTGCTTCAGGGTTAAATATTTTACACTGGGCAGAAACAAACTGTTGGCGTAGTTTTGATGTTTTAATATAATTAGAATATAATTGGTCTTAAAAAGATAATACAATAATTATACAGTATATACAATACATTACATATAAAAAGCAAAATACAGTTAAATAGCTATATATACAAAATAAAGCGGAATAAGAATTACAATTAATAAATTTTAATAATACGATTGATTTTTTACCACAGCGTGTGTTTAAGTAAATACTATTTCAATGTAAATTGAAATAAGTAAACAAAGGAAAAACAAAATAAACAACAGTGTACTGTACGTAGATTTATTAAATGATATTTAACTTAAGAACGTTCGAGATGACAGTTTAGAGTGAGGGGGACAGGAAAGCGCAACGTGCGCAGAAGTGAAGAATATTTTAAAAGGAGCAATGATTTTGTTTTTCACATAGAAACATATAAAATATACACAACAATTGGACAAGTACAAGAACGAGTGACCGGTGTTTAGGATATTGCACGGGTGAGCTTGACAATGTACATTAGTGACGGAAATTGTCGAGTTTCACCGATTTAATACCGGAAGATAAACATATACGGTAAAGCCTAAACGCAATCGAATAAAAACACGTGTGCACAATGTTTCCGTTTAAACGAATTTATGGAAAGCCACAACTGCCATAAACATATTATTTCAATGTGTGACATTAGTAATTATTGAAAATAATGACAAGCTAAAACGCATGTCCATCAAATATTTAACCAGATCACATAAATAAACCTTAATACGAGTATAAAGAACTAGCAATGCATTAATAGTTGCTATTAAATTCAAATTTTATCATATTTCAGTATAATAACAAATAAATCTGACAACAATGTACATGCAGACACAATCTGATTAAAATCAGTTCCTTATTAACGCTACTCATTAGGATCTGACTGGCACTTAAGGGAGTTCACCTTCTCGATACCTTTTAAACAGCCAAATCGGCGAGCTTTTATAATTTTAATCGCTGGAAAATCAGATCTACATGCAGGAAATAAAAAGATCTGAACTGTAGTCAGATTGAACCAGACATAGGAAAAAATTCTCATTTCGAGGGATATCCGAAACTTTGTGGACTTTCTTTGTTTTTAAAAATGTATTTGATATATTGATTTAAAATTCTTACACTGCTTAGAAGAATTATCAACTCAACTAATAAACATATAAAAATTCATGTTAGTACCTTCTTTTATCACAACACTATTTAATTTTACATAAACCCATGTCGGCCAAAAAGTTATTTATGTTAACGTCATAATAATGTTCAAATTGTGTTTTAACGTTACGCAGTCAATACCCGTTACTCCTTCTCGAAGTAATGTCCGTTTTCCCGTCCATCATTTAATCTCGTATGCCACTTAAACACTAATTATCGTGAAATTTTATTTTCTCTGTTTGCCTTCTGAAATTTTTCAAATGTTTTTGTAGGTGACGTGACAAATTACAACATAACTATATGATCGCGCGATTTATACTTTCTGCACGTGCGTCATTTTCCCCTTTGTAAACAATTTCGGCGTCTGGCATTTCTAGCGATATCAACAAAAAAAACGGAAATGAGGTACACAATTTAGAAAATAAAATAAATTACTTCATGGAAGAAACATGCAATGTTAAGCGGGTTTTATACGTTAATTATAAGTTTTTAAGCAAAAATAAACGATGACTTACTGCACATTTCTACCGCGCGCCGGGTGCCAGTATGTGCTTATTTAAAACAATATAAACTTATATATTGACATAAGTGAAGCAGTTGACTGTTCCTTTCAAAATGTGTTGATAATATCCTACCAGGTATGCTGATAAAATGTCATTACAATACACGTTAACGTTCTAAGGATATTAAATAAGCACACAATCCTTGGAGAACCCATTGTATATGGTTTGATTGTTCCTTTATTAAATAAGCTTATTGAATGGTTCTATTATCATAGTTTGTTAAATGTTAAATAAGCCATATAGAAAATTAGAAAATCATCATGGCTTAGATTGTTTATTATAAATATTTTCAAACTGTGTCGTGCATTTTAAAGATATGATAATATAAATGTTGCAAACAAGTTATAAGTATAGACCTATATCAAATGGTACACAAATCTCGGAAAATATTTCTAGTTCCGTCTTTTCAAAATAAAAAAGATAAAACACACACTCACACACACACAAACACACATGCACACACACACACACACACACGCACACGCACACGCACACAAATGTTGTGTTTTTGCAAAATAAAACTAATTCAGAGCTAGATATTATACTGCTGTTTAATTTTCCTGAATAATGACATAAATGTATCAATTGATTCTAAAATACCACCATATTCTACATACACGCTCTTGGTTATCTTGGAATGTTTTTAAAGCCAAGTGGCATAAAGAATTACTTCGTACTTTGTAATAATCTAAAGATTGCCAATGTATTACTTATTCATAGAGGTTTCAATCAGTAAGTTATTATAATGTATTTAGTATGATGGATAGTTATTCTGTAATTGTTTAACAATAATTTTGTAGTTGTCAGTATCATTAAAATATGTATTATATCAAAGTTTATAATCACATCATGTTCATGAAAGATTGTAATTTTCATCATGAAAACGATATATATTGAATTACTTTGTTCAGGCCCCATTTGCATTTTATGTTGTTTTTTATTTGTACTAACATTTACTTGACTCACATGTTAATATGATGCTTATGCTATAGTATGTCTTATTAATAATAATTGGCCTTTTTTTTAAAAAAAACATCCATTAAGTGAAAGAGTTTCAACTTATGTGAACTATGCATATATCATAATCTATATTGCATCAAATTGTTACTGTGTCTCTAAATTCAGATGAAAACTTATTTATGTCTTAATTTTGTGTAACAGCATCAACAACCTCTGCCTCTAAGTCATACAACTTTGAATGGAATTGGTGAAAATTAGCGAAAATATCTACAATGTAACGATTCACATTATGTCTGAACAAATTTAAACACATTTGTCTTTTAGAACGCAACACAATATTTATGTATTAAGTTCTGCAGTATGTTATATTAATTAAACAGTTACGCTGGACAAACAAATCAATATCAAAAATCGTGATAACTACAACAAATACTACTCTATGTACTCTTAAATTAGATACTTTAATCTATCATATTCTTCTTCACGAATTATATGTAAATTTAATTGACTCAGGACCATTTTATTTCAAGGTCAAGATGTAAAATATTTAAAAAAAACTATCGATGAGTGCTTTGTACCAAATAATCAAAATGAAGGGCTTAAATGATTTCTACAATGAGATTTTTTAAAATGATTTCTACAGTATCTACAGTTCTGTTTGGGGTAGCATGCTTTCATCTATTTCAAAGAGCATTCCAGGCAAGTCTTATTAAATTGCTTTGTTGGAAAAAAGAGCAACCATACTGCTTCACCTTGAGGGAGGAATAATTATTGTGAACAGATGAGCTATTTTTTGACAGAGAGAAAAACAAAATTAACATACAATTTCAAGTAAAGGATAATTTGCTACTTTATATATTTTAGTAGTATTGAATTGTTGTAGGATACTTTTGAATATATCAATAAAAAGCTGCTTACATATAAAGGTATCTTAGTTGATAAAATCGCGTTAGTATGTATAAATGCATAACTCTATAATTTCCTGATTAAGATGTTTTGTGTAAACATACACGTTTTAAACATGTAGCGATAGTAATGAAGGTCATCAAATTATAAGTGTGTGATTATGTGATTTTGTCTTTTCTTTTTTTGTTGTTAAATATTGGAATATTATCGGCCGGAGACCTTTGACGCTTTGGCAATGTCATTGTACCATCTTAAACGAAATTGGAATGTAATGTGACGCAGCCATTATGTAGCAAGAAAACACATCCGTTGACTGTAAAGTAGCCGTTCTAGTATTTATTTTTGAATTAAAGCAATATTATGTTAACTGTCACAAAGTAAAATATTTGAAAGTATCAAACATATCCTTGCTCATATTTACCATTTAAGCATTTATTTTACTTTCTCAAGATTTTAGCACTGTTAGAGTTAATGTACAAATGCCAATGGAAATATTCAACATTAAAAACGAAAATAAAGAACAATATTTTCGAATACTTTAATTACCAATTTGTTAAGTGTCAACCAGAAATCTCAATGAACAGAAAGTACTTACAATATGTATGTTAAAAATTTGAACATATTAGTATAATAACCTCTTTGTTGTATATTGCTGAATACATTAAAATGTATATCACACGATTTAAAGAAACTCCACTAAGGTCAAAAAAGCAAACTAAAATAATTAATTTTCTATTTATCACATAGATAAACTGGGGCACTTAAAACAGAAATATATGCAACATATATTTAAATATAGTCAGAATGAATTGAAAATCGTATTTTGTGCTATTTTTGCCTAATCTGAGAGAAAAGCGTTGCAACGCTTTTTATATTTGGATAACTTTTCACAATAAGAATATTCATTTTTAAAAAAAAGTGAGCGACGGATCAGACCTTTTGCACACAAGTTACTTGTCTTGACCTGCATCAAACTGAACACTTATTTCGAAAAGAATATATTCAGTCGCGTCAAGTAAAATCTCAGTGAAGCCCCTTTTAGTTGTATTTTCTTTTAAATTTTCATATTGATATAAACTGAAGTTTCACTTTCTTTGTCCATGCTGTTGTTATAATCCGGTAAAGTAGACAGTTCTTGCATAATTGTAGAGTTACTTTGAGCATAAAGATTATTTGTCACTACTTGAGCATAAACATTTCCGTCCTTTTTAGTTGAATCCAAATCTTCGTAGGGTGAATGTGAATTGTAAACTGGTCCTTAAAAATAAAGTTATACAGTATTTAAAACAGACAAAATACTAAAAGACTGAATTCTTCATAAAATAAATAAACAAAGATTATTCAAATCGGCCAACTTAGTTAACTAGGCAAATGTTTCAATATGGCATCTATCAATTTTATATGTATTTTAAGAGTTTAGTTCTTGTTGATGAAACGGATATCAGCAAGGATCTACAGATCATATTGCAAAACTTATTTACTTCTTATGTTATTTCTACACACTAATCACTCCGCGTTCCAATCCTTTACGTCAAGCTATTTTCTTTTAGATAAGATACAAGGTAAAGTGTTCATGTTATTTTACACACACGAATACAGTTTAATTTCAGCAGCTGCTTAGCAAGTGAATGTGTAAATACGTACTATGTTTATTTCAAATTCATACAAATAGCTAAAACATAATTTGTTATTATTAATAATTATTATTGTTGATCATTATATAAACATATACCTGTAACTTTACCCTCTATATCTTGTTTACCGGCATTATGTTTGTTCTTCCTGCAAAAAGTTAAAAAGATACATATAAAGCAATAATTCTTGAGTGAAATTTTTTAGAGACTAGTTAAAATACATTATGCTTATTTTCCCGCTGTAATTAGTATTATTTTACAAATGATCCACTATCATAATCCAACCAATGATTGAAATTCTTGTCATACATTTGTATTTTGATTTTGACTTATTTATGAATGTGAAACATTCTTTTGTGATCAATAATTACTTCTTAATTTAACTCTAACCTGACTGAACATGTTGTAATGATTTTAATAACAGCCACAAGTTATGTTATGCTCGACATGAATTGATATATTAAGTATACTGCTTGTTTCCCAATCCATGTATATTGTGATGTAAAATGACACCATGCTAAGTTTCCTAAATAAAAACAATAAACATACTTACCTTACGCGCCTATAACAGAACAGGAAAATAGCAACAATTGTTATTGTTCCTGCAAATGTACCCACCCCGACACCGACAAACGTTCCTGTACTTGTTTTATATACAACTGGCTGTAGGTCAGATGCGCTTGCTATTTAAACAGAAAATAAAGAACATATATTTATATTTATCCTTGAAAACAAACAAATCCAAATAAACAAAAAAAATGATAACTTTAACATTATGGACTTTTAACCATATTGGAATGCTAACACAAAAACAAATATACTGTAAATGATATTAAGATCAAGATAATGAAAAGGTTTGTCAAAACAAACAACTTGTTAACATCATTTATATCGCTGCATAGCTAAGGGTAAAGGCCAGTTATCATAAATTTATACATTTGTGTACATTGGCATATTTTTGAGTCCGTACAAACTGTTTATGATATACATGTATATGCTTAATTGTCTTTGTACTGATATTTGGTTGAATTTAATGAACCTTTCAAATAAATACGAATATCCTATCATATCTCATGTATATTATCGATATTGCCGCCTATATATTTATTAACTTGTGTATTTACGTGACATTTTAGATTGCTAACATTTGTCATGTGGTTTTTATTATAAAAAAAGAAAACAAAAAAGTATGTTTCGCTTTCAATCATATCAATCTGAATATACATATAACGTGCCCTGAATATAATCCGGAAATATTGATACTATAAGTAAACATTTATTTAAAAGCTACAAATATAAGACAAGTTTCACTTTATCTCAATGTTTTCTCTATATCGCGGATACCTTAGAATGTGATATTTAGGACTTGACGTCGATGGTGATAAGCTTACCGTTTGTTGTTAACTGTAAAGTTTTTGTATTGGAAGAGTTCCCCTTTTTATTCATTGCAAACATTCTTATATTATACGTTTTAGAACTCAACAAGTTAGTTAATGTATAGCTTATTGTCTGTTCATTTGTATCATGAACTTGAACACTATGCAACGTCTCTTTGTGACTGATATGATATAATAGAATGAATGTCTGTGGAAAGCCACCATTAAAACCTGGTGTCCAGACCAATATTACCGATGATTCAGTGATTGATCCCAATTTATACGTTAAATCTTTAGGCATATCTGGCTTATCTGTAAAAGAAATTAAGTATAATTATATTTATTAATTATTATATTATTAAGAAATAATATACGCAAATACGACATTATTTTAAATCAGTAAATCATTATAAATCATAATATAGTCATTTTTTTATTATTTAACAATACCATGCATATATTATTTTCATAGGATATGATCCGTACATAATAATCAATAACATATTCATTTTGAAAAAATCATATGAATACAGAAATTTAGTTTACCTTCTGCTTGTAACATAAAATGATGGGTATACTCTCCTATTGTGTTTGACACTTTGACGCTATATTCTCCAAAATCTATTTGTGTAATGTTTCTAACCGAAAGGCTAGAATTTAATCCAATTGTGAATATTTCAAATTTTTCATCACTTCTTTCGATTGCAATATTTTTGTGGAACCACATAAATTCTGTTTTATTTTCTTCATCCAAGTATTCATAAGCAACAAAATTCATAGTCTTATTTGTATACTGAGCAGCTGCGATCTTATTGGGGAAAATGCTATCAAGTGACGGTCGTGGTGAACCTGGAATTTATACAATATATTTTAATAGAAATAGTTCACAACATGTTCGTTCTATCCATTTTAAAGCGAAAAAGGATTTACACAAGAAACACCACACGAGTTAAAGTGTAAAAAACAAAACTTTTAATCAGTCATCACTCCTACATACACAGGATCCTAAAAGTTATTGGACCATCCGCGTCATCTAACTACCAAAATACAGTAATTTTCAGCAAATAAAGAATGTACAAAGGTGTATAAGCAAAAAGGAAAAAAGTACTGGTCTGTTCGAACAATATTGAGCGCTGCGACGTCGTTGGTGTCGTCATCATACAAAACTTTAGTGTGGCCAAGTATCCAATTAATATTAAAGGTATCAATATGAAACTTGGAACACTTGCTTTACATGAAATGAACAATTGTAAGACATGAAGCATTTTTCTGAAAGCTATGTTTTAGAGCAATGCATGTTTGATTTTATTTGTCAAAATAACTATTTAAGTATTAGAATTTATTCAAAACAAAAGGACATCACCATGACATTTTGAAGACTTGTTAATCTTAACAATTTAAATTAAATAAATAAATAAATACTTTTATTTCCTCCAATATTGAAGAGCATAACATATTTACAGAGGTGAACATAGACATATACATAAACAAGTATAATACATATTAACAAAATAGTATATCCAATTTAGCATCGTTCATATAAAACAAATATAACAAAATAAATCTTAACTTACAATTTGTCTCATGAGGTGTTATTTTGTCTTAAATGTTAACTAGTATACTTATCAAGGATCGTATATAGCTCAAGAGGTAAGTATCAAATGTACAAACAGTTATCAAGGTATCATATATTGCCTAGGGGGTAAGTATCAAATGTACAGACAAATATTAACTAGTATACTGTACAGAAAAATATAAACTAGTATACTTATTAAGGTATCATATATAGCTCAACAGGTAAGTATCAAATATACAGACAAACATTAACTAGTATACTAACCAAGGAATCATATATATCTCAAGAGGTAAGTATCAAATGTACAAACAAATATTAGAGAAAAAAGAAAGTCACTAGTATCAGATATACAGGTTGTGGTGTGTGGATTGCAATATAGTTTGAATGTATTAGTTGAATTTTTATAATAGTTAAATGTATATATATTTAATCAAATATAATAAGAAGGTATATATCCGTGTGCTTGTGATAAAACATCATTATGTCACATAGATTACAGTAATTTTAAATAAAGAAATAAAAAAAACTGCTTATAGCATTAATTTTTATCCTTATAACATTATGTTGGCATATCTGTCATATTTGACAAAAGTCTATGCGGACGAAAACGAAAAACGTATAGACTGATGAGATGAAAATTACATGATATCATGTTATATATAAATATAGTTATACTATTTAGAGTTGATTCCTATTTTGTTAGTTTTACAAGTCCCGTATTAGGTATTTATTACACCGAGTTAATTCCGGCTTTTTGTTCATTATAGAGACCTGGAACTCTATAAGATTTCACAGTCACCCTCCAGGTACCAAGCTTTTCTAGTTTGTGCGGATCTTTAAGAGATTACGAATAGACTTCGCAACTCTATAATTGCGCAACGCTAGACTGTCATTATCAGATGCTAGCCGGAAACATTGCCAGCATTGTTCCTCAGGTGACAACGCAAGAAGGTCTATAAATGCCGCTTATAAGTAAGAGTATGGTGCGAAATTCAAAAAATAAAAAGTAACCACCCGGGGGCGCGAAGCAGGCATTAAAAAACAAACGACAGGGGTGCGGAGTGAAAACACGCTCTTAGCCGGGGGCGGGCCGATGTTTAATAAATAAAACGTCACCCGCACCACCGCTAATTAGCTTATTTTCGTTCTGTGGCCCCGCCATTTTATACATTCTATTAAACTTCAACCAGCGATCCCGCCAAGCGGAAAATCGAGAAATAATAAGACATGATTGCTCTCAGTTGCCTACCAGAAACAACTGCTTTTCAGTGTTGGAAATTATCCATTGTCAATATTTTCTTATATTGAATTTGAACATAGAATATGTTTAAACAATAATTTGAAGAAATGCCATGACCTGGGCATTTAAGCTTTAGCTTAAACGTGGCCAATCAAATTAATATGAGCAAACTTGATAAAAGACTACCTGAGAATGTTACAATGTTTGGTGATCATCTATCAATTATTTCAGTAGGAAACAAGTTAAATATTGATACTGCACATCAAAGACGCCGCGAAATAATGTGAACAGTCAATCAGCATTGAAAATCGTTCTCTATTTCAGTTGAATATCCGAAGCACAAATCAATTTTTCTCAATGTTCTTGGTATGTGCTCGCTGTTTAATACTAAAGTTGCATATTTTTGTGAAAATGTAGAACCTAATGCATAAATTCACAAAATAATGCCAGGTCTGAAATTCTTGAATGTTTGTCTGTTGCTATTAAGACTGAAACGTCCGGTGGAATCAAAATAAATTAAATAACAATAAAATTGAAATGATTGGTAAACTTAAAATAAATTCAAGACAATATGTGCCGAGAATATACCCATTTAAATATTGGTACGAACTGCATAATGTTCGAATGATTTTGAGGACTGATCTCCCCTTACAGGCCGTAGCGCAACCGGCTTGTTGTACTTTCTTAACGGTTGAGTGAGAACCATCTCTCTAGTGGTGGGCGTGGTTTAGGCTTTGTAACTTGTAATTTAATGATTCGACATGTGATATTGATCAAAGTTGTCCTGGTTCCCTTCTACCCCGTCAACAAAGACTAAATGCTAGCATATGGAGCATAATATCAATTTTAATATGACAATTTAAGGCGGAGCCGAACTTCAACAGAGGCGAAGCAAATGAAATAAGTGACACTGCCTCAGTTGTCACCTCTCTTAACGGTTAATTTTTAGAACGATCGACTATAGACTGGCTCATTGGCACGTTATTTAGTATGTAGACAAAATCAGATAATGATAAAAAGAATATGATATTCAAACATGGCATTCCTCTTCAGTTAAACGTTTATTCTAATCCCTTTAAGCTCTGTGACATGTTGTACATCAAAAAAGCTATTTCTATTAGAACATTTAAAGACAGTGTTATTTTGTTAAAACAAAAAAAAAATACACAAAATCAAGTCTAAAATTTTCCCCATTGCTGTATGGACAAATGCATATCTAGTAGACGCCGCTTGCAAGCGGCGTCTAATGGTGTACGAAGTGTTTTTCTTTATTTTTAGCTTAAGTGGCCCCTAAAGGGGGCTAATCAAATAAATATGAGAAAACTTGATAAAAGTTGAATCAACAAAACGTCACCCCGCGCCCCCACTAACTAGCGTGCTTTCGCTCAGCGCCCCCGCCATTTTAACTTGTAAACTCTCGACTTATCATTTGGCTTTTACGCCGGGCGAAAACGCGTATGACACAAACTAGCCACCATACAAGGGGAATTTTGCTAAAGTTATATAAATCTGGAGTAATAATATCATGATACCTCTTTTTTACTTTATGTCAAAATTGCTTGTAATTTTAAAGATTTAAAAACTATCAAAAAAAATCAACATACAATTTGAACCCTTGACTGTGAGAAGGCGAAGTTGTAAAACAAGGGACATTCAGCTAAAATCAAAATGGTAAGAGTCCCTTGATATCTATTTTTACAAAATTGCTTATTTTGTGGAAAATTTAAAAGACTGAAAGATTTGTCATTGCTTGCAAGTCACAGTTGAAATACAATGGGCAGGTTATGCATATGATTATTCTGTAAGCTATATTTCTGTAGTAATGCCCCTTTTCAATTCAGCGTTTTTGTCACAACTTCTAAGCATCAGTACGCTGATTTCCAAATTTGAAACGTGTTATACTTTATAGTCATGACAAGGCACTATATACTCAACTCAAGACATTATGCCTCTTATAGAAGTTATGCTATTTATGAAAATGTGTAAATGATTGTGGATATACATTTTACATAAGAGCATTAACAGTTAATGTTGTGCTTTTTCGACATTTTGACCAGGATCTGACTGTCGCTTCGCACAATCAACAGTAAGAGGACCACCTAGGTTATATACCTTCTTTATATAAAAACTTCAGTCAATAACAAAAGCTGTACTCGAATAAGCTATTGTTAAAATGTATTTTAAACAGAAAAGTCACTGATTAAAAGTAGTACAAGCAAAACGTAACAAGGCATTATAAAGTATTTTAAGGGGGATTAATTATATTAAGCAATGCGGCTTTAAGTCTCCGACAATGTACTTGAATTATAAAGAATTTGTATTTGTTGTACTTGAATGTAAGACAAAAAATATCTATGTTCATTATAAAATGCGGATAGAAAAAGACATTATGAAACCCATTTAGCGGGGAAGTAATATTCATGCCGTCGTTTTGTAAATTTACATCACAGTTGACGTCATATAACCTTTAAGTAATTCCTTTTGTATGACGTGCATATAATGCCATAAAGTGTCTTTTTAACAAGGGAATATAACAAAGCAAGATGGAGTTAAAAGAAAACGCGTCATGATGTTTTTGTTACCCCATTTAAATTTTGGCTTTATATCATCATCTGATCATCTTTAAGTAATTTGACAGTGGAATTTAATCATAGCGTAAAAAAACTGAAGTGAATGTAATAAATTTAAAAATTAAATAATAAGTTGAATTAAGCGCGAAATATAGTTATGTTTTATAAAAAAAAAAACTTGTACATTCTTCTATAGAGTGATCTAGTATCAGATAAAACATGATTATCTTATATAAAAACACAATCATCACAAAATCCAACACACACACGGACCATCTTATAAACAAACTGACTTTACAGCAAGCAGAAAAAGATACCTCTTTCTGGCTCCCTTTAAAACCCTTGACACTAGTTAATTTGGACTAAATCAATGCAAAAAAGATCAAAACATTTTTTTTACTTTAAAAGGCGATCGTTCAAGCCAATGGTAAATGTACAAAGAAACACTAAATGAAAGAAAGTTATATGCAAAGCCGGTTAAACTTACATTTGACAATCATTGTCAGCTCTGATACTGATGGTTTATCCTTTGTGTAGTTGTTTCTGCCTTCACATTTATATTTGCCTGCGTTTTCGTACGAAGCATTATTAATGCTGTAAAGCAGCACATTTCTGTTTTTTACTGACGATATCCTCTTACCACTTGTATTGTATATAGATAAATCCGAGACTGGGTTAGCTTCTGCTGTACATTCTAATGAAACTTCATCTCTTTGGTTTACAATAAACGTTCCACTTGACTTGTCTTTTACAACAGTAAAATGTTTGATTTCTGAAGAAACTGAAACATATTATTATAAGTCAAGATAAAACAAAATCATTTGTTGCCTCCCTAAATATGTTTCACACAATACAATATAAACTATTCAGTTTTTATATGCCCGAAAGAATTTCGTGCATATAATGTAATACCCCCTGGCGTCCGTCCGTCTGTCTGTCTATCCGACCGTCCGTCCGTCCGCAATTTGGTTTCCAGAGCATAACTTAAGTTTGATTTCGCCCACAATATTCAAACTTCATAGGATGATTGTCCAAAATTTGGTAGAAGACCCCTATTGATTTTGGGGTCACAAGGTCAAAGGTCAAGGTCACTATTACCTTAAAACTGGAAACAGTTTCCGGAGTTTAACTTAAGTTCCATGTGGCCCACAATATTCAAACTTCATAGGATGATTGTCCATATTGGGTAGAACACCCCTATTGATTTTCGGGTCACAAGGTCAAAGGTCAAGGTCACTAATACTTTTAAACTGAAAACAGTTTTCAGAATTTAATTTCTTTTTGACTCATAGTGTTCAAACTTCATAGGATGAGTGTCCATATTCGCGTTAAACATGAATTCGCGGATCGGAGGAAATATGTGATTTCGATAAAACGACTTACTTCTCTGTCAACGTGTACTCACTTCGATAGTTATATTTTCAATAAATAGATAATAGTGATAATAACTGACAATTCACTCTGTGTAATCAATAAGATTTGGTTATAAGTGTTTTATTTAGACGTAAGTCTTGGTAAATTGGAACCTCAAATAGTTCACATAATAAGCTTGCGTTATTCACGCCCTTGCCACAAACATATATTAACATTAAGAGATTGGTATGATTTTGACTATAATAACAAAGTATACTTACAAAAAACACTAAGATGTATTGTTTTGCTTCGTATGGTCAATGTTTCGTGACCAATTGTTGGAATGATTGTACTTCGTAAAGTGCAAGTATATTGTGTATCATCTGCTCTGGAAACATTAGCTATAATCAATTGACTGTTCTTCCAATTCTTGTCATCACTTATTCTAGTCCATGACACACTTTCTTCAGTTGGGTTTCCCTTCTGAACTCGACATATAACATTGAGGTCTGATCCTTCGAGAATACTTATGTCTACTAGTGATGAAAGAGTTGATGGATCTGCAACCGTGTTTGTAAAGACTTTAAAATGATGTAAAAAATATGAACGCATGCAGGTTGACACATTTATGTTTTGAACAACTGCATTCCTCAACGTTTAATATATTTGAAATATCTTCAAAGAAAATAAATATTTATTTCATACGTACACATGATATCGAGAGACAAGTTGGAAATGTTCAATCCTTGTTCAGAGTCACCAAAAGTGCGTTTCATCAAGTTACTCGCATAACACGTGTAATTCCCGGCATCCTTTCGGCTAATATTTGTAAATTGGCGTATACGTCCCTGTACTGGATCATTGTGGCTATCCCAGGTGTATTTTGGGAGAGGTTTTCCTTCAGAAAAACAGGTCATATTGATGTTGTCTGTTTCTCTTAATTGTATAGTCGCTGCTGTGATGTTAAATTGTCTCGTTCCGTTCGAAATCGTGATCGTAGGAATGTATGGCGCATCTTTGAATGTAATAATGAGCATTTACAGAAATATTTTTTATTATGTACCGGCACTATTAACTACACTTAACGAAACTTATAAGTACTCCGACCAATTTTTTATTATATTGTGATAGAATTACTATAACTAGTCTAAGTCGATACTGTATAAACTTTAATCATAGTATCATCATTTTATAATAGTAAATGAATTTTACAATAACTCAAACTTAACAGAAAATCAGTAACTGAGATCACCATTGTAAACAAAATCAAATAACTTCAAGTTTAGTATATATTTTGAAAACCGGAGTTTTCCTGCAAGTTTGAAATCGGAGTACTTATAAGTTTCGATAAGTGTACTTAAATACTATCATTATGAGCATATCAGAAAAAAAAACTAAAATAAACAATGTTCTTTACTCAGTGTCTTTAAATAAGTCGTAATGATATAAATAAAAGAAAGTTTTAACTCACGCGTAAATGTCTTAATAAATAGAACACTTTTATAAACATGGTAAAATTTTAGGTTTCTAACAAAATGTGTTTAAAGAAAGACAGCGAAACTAAAAATAATGCAGGCCTAGCTTAAAATAAACCTGTTAATGGGCGGTGATAGTTGAAAATTGAATTTCATTGATATGACTGATTTAAAATATCACTTGTCTGAAAAACTTATTTTCACAATTAAATTTAAAGATTTAAAATTGTGTTTGGATCAGTTCTTAAATACAAGTTTATATAATACATGTATTATAATTATACATACGAAGAACCCTGATAGAAAATGAGGCAGATGTCGATACTGTTCGACTTTCACCGACTGTTTCCTCCATTATGTTCTTTGCATGGCATGTTTTATTTGTGTCGGAAGTAATTGAAGTTATCTTTAAAATACCGTTGCCTTCATTACTGTCCCACTTGTAAGTAGGTAATGGATTTCCTGCAGCATTGCAATGTATTGAAAACGAGTCTCCTGCTATAACGTCTATCATATTTTGAGTACTGACCTTTGTTCCATTGCTATATTCATATTTGAAATAAGGATTCCCAGGTGGATCTGATAAAACACGATATTTTATATTATTGACATTCATTTTCCTGCGTGTACGCTTTTCCTTTACAACTGGATAGGACAAGAATGTGAAATAGCTGTGTACATTTCTTTACTTATCTGTTTAATCATTGTTTGGCCCAAATTGGTATTTTTTGAGACAATAAAGTCTAATTCTAATCAAAATGATATTAATTGAGAATAATTTTATTTAGAATTTGTATGAAGTTATGATGCTTTATTAAGTTGAAATTATCTGACAGTCATCTCAGAAAAATGTACAAAGAAAGTGAGGTGTAACAAGTGATACATACACAACACCTTTATTGTAACAGCAGATTCATTATGTCCATCTACATGTGTACCATTCTGTCTAACCATTCGATTTGTTGCCATGCATTTAAACATCTTGTCTATCGTGTTGTTAATTGTAACATCCAGTATTTGTTTCGTTTTGCTCAAATCAGCTGGGCCTGTCCATGTGTAGTTTGAGCGTGGGTTGCTTTTACTTTCGCATTTAACTAGCACGGTTTTGCTCAAAATAACGTTAATAACGTTTGAAACGGTTTTATTGCTGATGGTCATTGTTGGTTTGTTTGGAGGGTCTTAAAACATGTATGTCAAAATATTTCGTATCTATTATTGATAATATTTATCAAGATATTACATAGTATTAATAAATTAAAGCACGTTTGGAAAAATAAATAAATACTAAAAATATTATCACTTTAAAGCAGTATACGTAATCATCTTCAGTACTTTAAATGTTTTGTTACTGACGAACGTCTTAATATAAAACAAAACCATACACTATGTTATTTATCTGATATAATATGAAATATAAAACTTACAAAGAACATCAATCATTACAGTTGTATTTTGCGTAGTTCCAGACCAAGAATGATGTGAAATACACAGACAAGATGACTGACCACGAAAACCTGACCATGTAACAGTGCTGAAAACTGTTTTGTCTTCATTGGAAATAGATGTTGGTTTACTGTCATAGCAATTCCATGTCAAATTAGCTAGTGGATTTCCGCCATGTGAAGAACAAGACAATTTGCCAAACTCAGATTCTATAAGTGAATATTTTTCACCGTCTGTGAATCCAATAATAACAGGTTTCTCCGGGGGATCTTGAAATGTTTCAAAATATATTTTAAATAAAATATCAAATAATTTAAATTAACAATAGCTATACAAGCGTCATTGATATCTTTTAACTTCACTTAACAAATACTTCACTACTTGACTTAACAATTTAGCAAGCGTTTATAATATATGCATTTAATATATTCTTTAAAATCTTTAAGTTGTCTCGCTGTTTCTACTTGATTGAACAAACAATACGAATAAACGTAGGACTTAATATAATCAGATTGCAACATCTTATAGTTTTCAGAACAAGCTTAGGTATCTTTCTATTAGTTTTCCGTTAAGTCGCTTTATTCCCGACTTCATATTTATGATAGAAGTTTCTATACATTTGTCAGAATATTTGAAATATATACTTCAATCTTTGCTTCTCCTTATGAACTCCTGTTGTGAGCCCTATCTTTTTATCAAAATCCATTATTTATGAAAACGGAATACAGGAACTTTAAAGAAATGTAGAAAACAAATGACGTTTACGGACACAACTATCTAAAAAAAAAAAGCTTGCAATTGTTAAGGCTTTGCTTTAAACAGAAAAGCCTAATTTTGACTCTATCAATGAAAAACTTATTTATCAATTCATTCAAAAAAAAGACTTACAAGCAATATTCAAGGTTAATCTATTGCTAAGAACTGCACTAGTTTCGTCGTCTGTCCACGCTTCACAATTCAACATCCAGTTGTTAATCGATCTATTTGGGTGAAACTGTAAGGTACTTTCGACAGTTACAAGTCCATCTCCGCTATCATTGATTATTTGTGTTGAAACATTTACAGTTATCTTATGTTTTACGCTTTTATTTTTTTCAAAGAGATACCAACTAACTCTTGGTTGTGGTCGACCAGGTGATGTCTTACACTTGATTGTTTGTTGGGAATGCTCCTTCATGAAACTAGAACTTGGTCCAGAAAGTACTACATTTGCAACAGAAACTGAAATATGTCAAAATGTAAAATATAATGAAATAATATAGCAAATTACATAATTATGCATATTTTTACGCATATATTAACAAAGAAATTCTTTTTTAAAGATCCTTCAGATATTAAAAAAACAAAGAAATTAATAAAAATAACATAATGTGTAAGGACAATCATTCGTTAATTTGAAGTTTACAGCATCAAGCTTATCAAAAATCCTGTATGTTATAATTGAGGTTGTATACCACTGTGTGTGTGTGTTTGTGTGTGCGTACGTGCGTGCGCGTGCACAAGCGTGCGTGTGTGTGCGTTTATTTATACTCGCCAACGATTGCCCATATGGGCGAGTCCTCCAGAAGAGTATTGATTAGTCATTTTAGATTCTCTTTGAGGATAGTGCAATTATTGATACAGAAAGTTGTCCCAATTCCAGAACCTTCTCCTGGTTCTTTAACGTGCCAAGTGTTTAAGCACTCATACACGGGACCTCGATTTAAAGTCTCATCCGAAAGACTGATAAGGTAAATAAGTTGGCCACACTAAAGTGAAACTATTTAATTATATGTGTGTATCATTATGCATATAAAACAATTTTCAAACGAAGAATATGTAATAAATATGTACTGCAAATATTTGTACATATTATATGTAATCATTAAAATATATGCATTCATTTCTTGTTGAAAAATTTAACTTAGACTTTATAGAAAATAACTTTTTTATTACCTCCCTTTATTTACATGAAATGTTAAATTCGTTAATATCAGTATAAATAATGCTTTTTGGAACTTTCAAAATTTATAAATCTTAATTTGAGCATCATATTTATGTTATTTATGATATAAAATCATTAAAAATGTGTTACATGATCTTTAACGAGAGAGAAGATGAAGAGCATAGTATTTAGGTTGTAACGAATACTTTACATGTATCAGATTATATTATCTAAAATATGTAAATTACGGATTTCGATAAGTGCTTCGAAGAATGCCGAGTGTCGATCTATTACAAAATAGCATCTACAGTACTATATGTTGAAACCGAAACTGGTTATCCGTAATATCGACAGTTTTAGGAAACAATTCCTTTTATAAGTAATTTTCACACATTAAAAGTTATTGCAAACGCCATGCCTTTGAAATATCCCAGTTTTTATTTGGATAATGAGAAATTGCACTTTTTGTATAATGGAAAAAAATAAACCCAAGCGACCGTTAATTTCGGTAAACTTCTACTATCAAAATTATAGCAAAGCTTGTTTTTGGAGTTAAATTACGTCTTAAATTTTTAAGATAGCACAGAAGCGGCATATTTTCTTCTTGTATTGAAACATCGACATAAAGGCTGTCACGTACGACTTCGTACGTTGCTTCGCAAAACTGACCAGATGAGGTATTTTCTCGCACTTGCCCAACCTGTGTATGAAATGGTCTCGAATGGTCACGTCCCACCATAAAAATGTAGCAGACTTTTATAAACAATGGCGCTTAAGATGACGGTGCAAGTAATTCAAATATATTTTAAAATTATAAATCTTAACATATAAGCAAAAGAAGCGTTGTGGTCAAGTTTGCCATAAAATCGTATAGAAAAGATGAAGGATATTATATTTAGAATTCCCCCTTACAACTACGCCAGACTTAAAAAATATTGAGATAATTGTTGTAAAACAGCCATGAAATAAAAGCTATTATATTTAATTTTTCTCGAAATATTAAGAATTACAAATATCAGTATCTATTACATGTAATCTATAATCATTCTGAAAAGATCCAAATATGTGATAATGCATGTACATGAACATTTGTTTAGTTTCCAGTTTACTTCCTTAAATTATATCTGATTTGATGGTGATATCTAGGTTTGGTTATTTTCACAATATTTTTAACAGTTTACGGACATTTAAAGTATCTCCTTGTTTTCTCACACGTATCAGTCACCCGGATATGAACACATTAAGTTATTGTGCGTTTTTTTTGTACCTTCATATATATTTAGTAAAAGCTAATAAAGTTTTCAATAATTATTATATACTTTAACAACGTCATGGTAAAAGAACGCCCCGTTTGAATAATATTGTTGACAACCGATCACGGTTCATCTGTTTGACACTTACCACCTTGACAATCACCTAATCAAAGGAAGTGTAAGGTAACAATTATGAAATATTATGTTATTTACGATCTATAACACACTGCTGCTTTAAATTTAATTACTGATAGAAAAAGTCGTTTGGTGATACTTTCAAAAGAGAGTTAATATGTATATGAATTTGAATCAATCTTATATTGGTTCAAATAAAGTCCCGCATATGTTGGTTATATCTGGTAAAAATATCGTATATCACGTTTTGAGTACTAACACTTACTGCTACAAGTAATGCCAGTCAAACAACTGTTTTGTTGATTACATAACTTGTCATCATATAGGCCTTTGAGTGACAATGGTGCATAGAAACCCTATTCACAAACTCAGGAGTTCAACATTTAAATTATGACGTCAACCTACGTTTGTACACCATATCTGAGTATTTTTATAGGCAGATAGTTGGCCTATATCCATTTACGCTTTTCGAGCACTTATACTTGTATACGGAGATTAATATGTTAGGATCGATTGTATCAGTGTCCTTCAAATTCAAAACAAAATGTAAAAGTTCAAATGAACTACTTATATTCATCTTTGCATCGGTATTTTATCAAAATGCTAGCTTTTTAATTGTTGGTTCATACTTTAGATTCGATTAAAAGTGTCTAAATAATAAAATGTGTTATTTCTGGTATCCCTTTTAGCCGAACGCAGAATGTCAATGCGTGAAATGCTACTTCCGTTCTCGGAAACATCATAATGTAAAAAGAAAACAAGTCTCCTTTTTTTGCTGCATATTGTGAATTATATGTGCACACAAGTTAATGATAATTGTGCACACAAATCCTTAATAAAAACTAGCTATTTATTGTGTACATAACAAACCCAAAGATGCTGTCGTGAAGATCAAATAATAGAAATTTCCTAAATTGTCATTACTTTGTTATTCATTTGCAAATTTGATTTATATTTGAATAAAACAACACAATGACAAAAATGACATCTTGAATAACTTGATTATGACTGTAAGAATTATTAATATTCTAAAAACCTAGGTAGTTAAAACTTCACGAACTGTTCTGTTATTTTACAAATAGCAAAAATATGTCTGTAATATCAAAAAAATAGTACTGAATAAATTGTTAAAATGTAATCAATTCTTAGTAACGTATTGTTAACTTATTTATAAAAATAAGTAAACAATTTGATTTAACACAAGATTGCACATTTGCCTGGAATTTAGGTACAAAACCAATTATAATTGTAAAATATCTAGGCAAAAGGGAATGAACATCACAGAATCCGTCAAAATAACCTATTGCAAATATTTGTGGTACATTTTAAAATAAGCGTCTTTTTTCACTCAGTTAATCTGTTTCATAACTTAAATGTTGATTATTTTCATGAAGGACACATTTTGTCTGTTTTCCAAAAAGTATATTTCCGTTGCGCCCGTAGCGCCAAAGTACGTATTTTAGTCGTAACCATTGTTCCCTATCCAAATTTGGTTCCGGCGTCGCGTAATAATCACACGGGCGTAAACCGGTCATTAGAATAAAGACTGGCATATTGGCAATTTTTATCAGGTAAATAAAATTAGATAATTATAAAAAAAAATATGATTTTCAAACATGTCACCATTTCTACAGTTTAATGTTTATTTTAATTCCTTAAAGCTCGGTCACATGTTGTAAACCATTTTTTTTTTAGAAATAATGAAAACAGTGTAATTATAATACGCAAAAGAAAGACTAACATTTTTCAAATTGCTGAATAGACTAATGCATATCTACTAGAAGCCGAATGTGCGCGGCGTCTAAAAATGCACACTCAAGGTTCGTACTCAATATTTTTCCTTCCCATTGTTTCGTACCTGTCTCGTACGTAATATGCTCTTTAAAGAGCACAATTTCTTACTTTTATGGTTAAATGACCTGTTTTGCTACCTCAAGCTTCGATTGCAGCATTATGTATTACATTTTCTAGTCACAAATATATTTTATTATTGAAGTCTAGTCAATAAGAGTTTACAATAGAATTTTCAGAAAATCTGTCAAAATATGGCCTGTAACTGCCGTTGGCTTTTCTGTTTTGTTTTTTCTATTTGTAGCTTTTTACCACATCGACTTGAATTAAGACTAAAGAGATTTATTTGAGTTCTGGTTAACTTATCGCTCGTATCACAGGGCGTGACATATAATTTGATATAGCTGATATGTTTAAACACTTATTTTTATATATATCCAAAACTATGCCATACATTTTTAAATGAAATCTTCCTTTTTGTTTATCCTTCATTTACTAGGCTCTTGATCAACTGCAAAGAACTACGAAAAGTGGAGCGCTCTGACCTTCTGATAGCTCTTTTTATTTATACAGTCTTGTAAGATAGCTTAACATTAAATATTACTACGAAAGATCGGTGATGACATTCATCCGTTGAAATTCTTGGGTGTATCTTTACAAATGCCTCGTGAACTCATGATTTTAACATTAGATATCATGAAACTGAATTCATGAAGTAGTAATCTTCATGAAGGAAAATTCATGAAGTTCAAAGCATGAATTCATGAAGTTGATTTGTTACGTTGAAACCGTGAATCATATGCATGAATCTGAAATCGTGAATTCTTGAAAAATTCGTAAAGTTGAAATCGTCAATTCACGAAGTCGAGAATCGTGTAGTCTAAAACCTTAATTGAATCGCGAATTTAAATCCGTGAAATTGAAATCCTTCATTCACGAAGATAAAATCGGGTATTCATGAAGTTAAAATACCTCCACCGTACTTTCATAAATTCAATATTACATTTATCACCTCGTGATACAAACCCAAGACAAAACAGACAAAACCAAGCATTACAGAACAATCGGCCTGGATTACTCAGTATGGAACCAAACAAAATTTAAATGGGGCAAAGTCCTACCAAGGAAGATGATAATTAGGGCCGTACCAATAAACAGTTAAATAACTGACAGTTAAAGTCATGGGTAACTTGGAACATTTAAGAATGTCAACATATGCGGCTTTCCTGCATTACCTACCACTAATTACCAATTTCTCCGCAAGCGTCCGACTATTCAACCACTGGACTTACTGTCCGTGATCAGATGTCACTCAGAAATTTCGCTCAACCGAGGATCGAACCGGTAACCCAGGATTACGAATCTGACGCTCTTTCCTCTTAAGCTATGCAGGCAGTTTCATATAAAACAACATATAACAATTTACAAGACATACTTTTGAAGGAACACAATAGGCATCTCAATTGAATTTTCAACCACAAAAGTAATACATGGATGGTTTATACCTGTAGTAGGTGCAGAAAAATCTCACTCATTGCCAAAATATACTATACTATTTGACGAGAGGTTTTTAATGAAATGACTCTTCATCAAGTTTTTTTATAAATTGTCATAGTCACAGAAAACAAAATGACTATAACAACTGAAATGCTCATGTAGATATTAATACTGAAAAGTTAAAAAATGACCATAACCAAATAACTTAAAGGTTAATTTAAAGATGAACAACTAGAAAATCATCTACAAAGGCTGGATGAAGAAGACATGAGACGAGAATAAAGCAATAATACCCCACTGACTTGACTAAAAGGAATTCCTTAAGAAAATTAAGTTACAACTCCAATGTACTAGCTTCTTTAACTCAATATAAATGTACAAGTTAACTTCCCAGTGTATGTAAGAATATCTCACTTAACCTTGTTGTATTTAAGCCGTTCAAGTAATATTTCAAAAATGTAAGTGTACCATAAACCTTTCAAATAGTGCCAGTGATGCAGTTGTCCAATTGACAACTATAGAAATAGTTGGTGCATAATAACATTTATTATTTTTTTTTAAAACTTACATACTATAACTTACCTTTTAATAATATTTTAACAGTATTACTTGTTCTGTCAAGATCCAAACATCTCCATTGGGTATTAAGATCTTCTTGTTGTACACGTAATATTGTTACAGTAAAAGATGTATCAGACGGACACCCAACTCTGTAAATTTTGTCATCGGTGAAGATTCCACTACCACTACAAGTATTATCTTGATGACGTACTATATATGGTGTATGCTGATTATTTACACGCCACTTCGTGCCTGCCACATTGGTGTAAGCAATATACGTACAGGTAAACGTGAGGGCCTCGTTTATATTGGCATAAGCGTTGGTCGGAGTTAGAACTATGCTTTGACATGATATACCTTTTATAAAAAGATGACAATATGTCAGTTAAAGATCCTGTATGTTGTGATCAAAGTGGTAAACCACACTAAGTGCAATTATATATATGTACATAATTATGCAAATAAAACAATTTTCAAACACCTTTGAATATGTCAAATATGTACTGCACACTTTTGTACATATTATATATAATCATTAAAATATATGCATTTATTTCTTATTGTAAAATTTGGCTTAAACTTTAAAGAAAATATTTTTTATTACCTCCCTTTATTTAAAATGTTAAATTCGGTAATATCTTAATAAATAATGATTATTGGAACATAAACTATTGATACATCTTAATTTGAGCATCATATACATGTATATGATTACAAACCAAATCAAAATGTGTTACTGGATTTTTACGTAAACGTCTGCATAATATTTTATTCTTTTTATTGGTCTGAATAACTTCATGCCCACTGCATATTTATCAGATATTTATCGGACAGTTTAAAAACCCAATTCTTACATTTTGACTGTATACCCCCTTAAAAATGTTTATTTCATATGTTTGGAAGACCGGATTATACTAAAATGTTATTGTTTTTTTACAACGTATGAAACTGAAGTTTTCTGACAGAAGAATAATAAGTATTTCGACTTGAGTATAAAGCAAACCTTTACGCTTCTTTTGACAGTAGTTTTTTAAACACTTGTCTAGAATGCAAGAAATAAAAGATTTTAAAATGGCAACAAATAACGATGCAACATACTGTTTCTTAGAAATTAGCTCATAAGATAAATCAGATGCATCTCGACTGAAAACGGATGCTAACAAAAACGTATTGCGAGTACTAAACGTATATAAAATCAATGATTGACTAGTTATTGTACTTACCCTGAATGAAACACAGAGCTAACATACTTAAATGGAATTTCCAATTCTTCATCTCTTAAATATGCGTATTACTAAATGGAGTACCTAAAAAGGGAAATATATATAGTTTAAAATGGTCACACGGAGACATTTCACTCCTTTATTGCGCATTTGGATTTGCAGCATGAATTTGAATGGTTAATTTATGAACCATTTATATTATGGTTTAAATCATCTAGAAATAATAATATAATCTGGCATATCATAACTATCGTAGAAAAACACTGGATAGCTATGGTTGGATAAATGTTGTTATCAATTACCATAAGTAAAATTATACAATTTTCTAATTCCTAAAAAAATGGCACAAATACTCAAATGGGAAACAGATACATAAAATGCAAAACAAAATAGGCATAACATTGATAATATAAGTATCTGCCCTTAAACTAATGAAAAATTAAATTCACATTCATTTCACATAGAACGGAGGCAATTCCTATACCCCCTCCCCCCCCCCCTGCTTTGCGGATGTGGGTTAAAATTTAAAACCTTTGAATTGACAATAAGTTATAGAGGAGACATGAAAAATAAGATATTTTAACATTATTGCGCCCTGCACGTCGTCTCATTATGGTGATCACTTGTGCCAAGATATTTCAAACAATTGTTAGCGGTTTAAACGTTATGATGCGGACACGAAATGTACACTTTTATCACTTGACCTATAAGTGTGACATTGACCTTGGAGGTAGCAACCCAATTATTGCGCTTTGCACATCGTCTCATAAATGTGGTGACTTGTGCCAAGTAATTAAAAAAATCAGCGATTTAAACGTAACACAGCGGACAGATACGACCTTAAACGTGAGGGTAACAGCTCTGCACATCATGATCACTTGTGCCAAGTTTTTCAAAAAACAATTTCAGCGGTTTAAGTTATGGAGCGAAAACAGAAGTGTTACAGGCGGACGGACGGACGACACAAGGACGAACTGACAGACGGAGCCCATTCCTATAATCCCCTCCCCGCTATGCGAAAGGGATCAATAAATAACGTTAAATTTCAAATACTTTTATTTGACCCTGAACTTTACATATCTGGTTCTAACATTTCAGTAGTTGATGAAACTAAGTTTTTAGGAATTACATTTGATTTTATACCACATATTAAACATTTGAAAACTAAATGTCTTAAAGCTTTAAATTTACTTAAGGTTTTATCAAGAATAAGTTGGGGATCAAATTCGACCACATTACTGAAATTATACAGAAGTCTGATCAGATCAAAATTAGATTATGGTTCTGTAGTATATGGGTCTGCAAGAAAATCATATCTTCAAATGCTAAATACCATATATCACCTGGGTTCACGATTAGCTTAGGTGCTTTTCGGACCTCGCCTGTAGAAAGTCTATATGCGAAATTGGGGACCCGTCACTCCATCTACGTCGAAAAAAGCTATCACTTCAATATGCAACTAGAATTACATCTTATAGCAAAAATACAGCTAAAAATATTAGTTTTAATCCAAGTTATACTGAAAAATTTGTAAACAAACCACAGGAAATTAAACCATTAGGCCTTCGTTCGATGATTTAGAGAATTTTAAAATTAATCAAGACAGCATCCTTCAACTTGGACTTATAATTCCCCGAAAATTAATATTAACCTTTCAAATTTAAAAAAAAATGAAAATCAAATTTAATAGTTCTTATTTGATGCCGAGTTGGACACACTAAAATTACCCACTCTTATCTCCTCACGAATGACAATGCCCTTTTCTGTGTACCTTGTAATGAAAATTTTACTATCAAATATTTTCTTCTTGAATGTCATGATTTTTAACAGGCCCGTAATAGATTTTATAGAACTCCTTAATACAATTCCATCAAAAAACATCATTGATCATTTGAAAGAGATAAACTCATACTCCTCTAGGATCTAATTGACTCATTTTTGTGTCATTTATAAAACATAAACATAACATTTTAAGCATGTTATATCATTCGGCACGATATGGCCAGTTATGTGTTGACGTGCCGTAAAATTCCAAGCAAACAAACAAATAACAATTTTAGTAAGTCCCACTTGTGCAAATTCTCGATAAATCTATTTATATGTCTTGACATGAACGCTTATTTATAAAGATCTTTTTAGATCAAGCTTTTGTAACTTGTTTAATACAGAAACATTTAGACTTTACTATGAGTGTTATATTTCATGTTTTTTTATGTGCATAAACAGAAGAGGTTAAACCTGCAGACAGATGTTAGTCAGGACGATTACTTTAAAATCGTTAAGGAAGGTAAAATGAAACTACACATAGTGATTACAGGCAACCGTGCATTATTCTATCTTCATTTCCAATTTTACTTACAATTTGATTGTACGCTCAATAAATTGGAAAACAAATGAACACATTTTTAAGAAAAAAATCTATTAATGGGTGGCATTGAGAAAATGTTATGTAAAGTGTTATTAATCTAACTTCAGTACTTTTTCCATTAAGTTTCGTTATGTTCTTTTGTTTTGTGTCCCCACTCAGTTTCTTTGTTATACTTTTGTAATTTTTCCAAACACTTCACTGATTCACTGTTCCACAGTACCCGTTATACATAGTTTATAATAATATCTCGGTTCACACATTGCTGCAGAAGAAATTTAAATGTTTAAAAAATACTACAGCATGTATGGCAGACTCCTTACAAGATAATAAACAAAAGAAGCGCGTAACAGTTATATAGTAATACACATAAAGCGTTTATAATGCATACACTCTGCTATCATGAAGATACTTATGCTAATGAGCCCATATTTGAGCTATAACAGCCATTAATATCTTTTTAATCGTTAAGATTCACAACATTACACAAGCAAATCCAGTATGTCATTTTTGTCGACACAAGGGTCGTTTTATTAATATTACGTTGACTTTTTAATCTAAGTAAGTTCCTTGTGAATATAATGTCCAAAAATGTAAAAATGTGATGATATGAATAACGTCAACAGCAACAACACCACTATTGTCTTCAAATACAATTTAGTCGTAAGAAATATATCAATGGTAATGCCTATATTCCTACATGCATTTTTATGACGTATTACCTAAAGTGAACTTAAAGGATCACATCAATACAGTTTTAAAAGACGAACTTGTTCATAAAATATCTGTTTATGTAAGATTGAGTCATGGTTACTTAAAATACTAGTTTTCACGAGGTACAGTACCTGTATGTGATTAAATCCAATAAACACTGTAGGTATACTGTTACAACAAGCAATACTGTACGCGGAGAGTATCAGCAAATACCATAATCATCTACAAAAACACCAGTATTCACTAACTTTAGCTGTGACAGGTGTACAATTGAGATAAATATTTTGATTTCATTCCTGTCTGTGTGATCCTGAAGCCAGTTTCTTTATCTTTTGAAGGGTCAGCATTGTGTCGTATTTATTTATAAAATCTTTATTATTTATTATTAATGGTACTGTAACATCAAAGAATGAAGTCTTTATCTTATTGATAATGTCAATAAAAATATATTTATTTCATCAAGCTTTATTACTAACGGTTGTAATAAAACAGTGATTGTAACACTATACGTTTCTCGACTGCTCAGGTAACTGATAAGGCTAAGGGTCAAATTTGAAGATGATATCATTTTTTTTAATGTGGTTTAATGTGGAACGGTTAACATATACGCATAAGTATTTAATTTAGAACTTAATTATAAAATCACTCAGAATTTTACTGATTAATGCGTAATAATACGTTTTGCGTACTATTTAATACATTATAACATTTTGTATTTAAGAGTTCATAGTCCAATCTCTTTATGTTTTGTTTCATATCTTAATAATAATAAAAAATAATAATAATAATAATGTTAACATCATATATTTGAACTATCTTATTGTGCTAAGGAGATTATCTGAAATAATGAAAGATAAAGGAAAGACAATTAATTGTGTTCATATGTTGCATCTTTGAAAGTAACAGACGATAGTTAACGGATACAAATATTTACTGCAATAGATTGTTGAAGATCTTGGGAGTAGAAACAGTTTAATATATTTTTGCAGATTTCTATACATATTTACATATTGTTTTAATGTAATGAAAAATAAAACAATGTGTATCGCTCTACATTGGTTCAGCAGAACGATTATGTGTAAAACTACTTATGAATACATTATACGAATTAATTAAACACAAAAAACACGCTAAACTCGAATTTCTAGTGAATGCACGGACCAGTATTTTATTCAGTATTCTATTTATATAATCAAACTTTTCAGTCTGATATATTTAATTTGTTTCTAATATTGGGTAAAAACACACAATCGCTGAATAAGGCAACACGTGTTCATCCACCGACTGTAAAAGAAATGTACAATATGCCAACTCTCGTGTATTTGAAGGGCGGAAAGTCCGCTTTTGTGTTGGCAGGTTTTGCGCATGGTAATCGCAGACATATTCATGACCTTTTGTAATTTGAATGTCCAACGATACACAGATGAGATTTCGCAAGGCACGTTATCTCACTGTATCAAAAGAATCCCGACATCACTCTGTTTAATAATAATTATACAAGCTATACAGCAAGAGATATAGTAAATATATCTCAAGAGGGATAGTATTGCATTCTTCAATAATTGACCCGCCAAAATTCTAGATCTGAATGCCATAAACATTTGTTGGACAATTTGGGCCAGCGCCCCATTTCATCATCGAAAATCAATAAACTACCATAAACCTTAAATAAAAACATTCAACATATCAAAACATTTGTCAGTTCCATGCACAAAAATTTAAAAAAAATAGAGAAAAACAGAACTCCTAAAGAAAGCCTAACCCGACAAAATTGAAAATGTTGCAGACTCGGTTTGATTGAGTCTGTTCATGGACGGTACTGGAAAGTGCAAGTTACATTCAACGCCCCCTAGCACCGGCTTAAGCAGAATTCAACAATTAAAAACTCGAAAAGTAACCCATTCTCAGAGAGATCATACACGGTATAAATTTGTGATTTTGCTCTACGTTCTCTACTTAATTTAATATACACTACCGTTATTTTTCCGTCAAGATATGGCGATAAAAATGTCTACACAAATTCACATTGGATACTTGTAGAATAGAAATAAAAATAGTTTAGATCTTCTTTCAATATTTTTGGTTTATCTGCATGTTCCATTTTCTGCTCAGTATATGCTAGTAGAATTATGTACAAATGAAGTTTATATAAGATAAACAATTCTACCGGGACCACAATAAATATGTCAGTTTTGTAATAGTTGTATAGCTACTACATCGTTAAAACTGTTACCATTAAACATTGAAATAGATATACATTGTATTTCTTTTGCTAGTCACTTTAATATTCAATTGGTCTGAATCAAATGTACAAATGTAGGTCCCAACTAAGTGCATAGACTTTTCAACAAAAAATATCTTCCTTAAAAGAATACATTTTTCAACTACAAATGTGTCCATAGGACACGGGTGCCCCAACACTCCACCGATTTGTCCATCTTATGTCTCTAGGTCAAATTATTTTTTTTTTGGCTACATGTGCCCAAGTTGAAAACTAAAAATCTTTTACCAAGTGAAGGGCAGATACTACAAAAACTGAATAAATCCATATGAAAAATTTCATGCATAAGTACACATGCTGACCGACGTTCTTGTAAACTTTCAGGCCTTAAGGTCAAATACTTTTTAGTTACGTACAACACAAGTTGAAAATTGTAAATTTTTACAAGGTCAAGGGCAGTAACTCTAAAAAATACTAAAAATATTCACATAAAAATACCCTGAGGCACAAGTACGCATGTTTATCAACATTCCTAAAAGGCTTCATGACTCTAGGTCAAATATTTTTTGAGTAACGTGCGACACAAGTTGAAAATTGGAAATTTTTACTAAGTCAAGGGCAATAACTCTAAAAAATACTAGAAATATAAACACAAAATACCCAGGTGCACAACTACACATGCTGAGCAACATTCTTGTAAGGTTTCATGACTCTAGGTCAAATACTTTTTTGTTACGTGCGACACAAGTTGAAAATTGGAACGTGCAACACAAAAAGAGAAAGGACGGACGGACGTACGGACAAGAGTAAATCTAAATCCCCCTTCCCTAAAGTTGGGGCACAAAAACATAGAGATTCCACGGGACACAAATTAAATCAACGAAGTTGTATTTAATAAGCGTAATACTGACTGACGGATGCAATTATCTCATTGTTGTTTGAAAATTGTTGTTTGAGAATATATCTTAGAAGATTATGTGCCTTGCAAAAGTATTGTTAGTATAGGTTCTCATTTATTAAACAGAAACGTTCAGGGATGAAACTTAAGTTTTTGCAATTGTTGATAATCAAATCAGCTTTTAATTTGAGTTAACACGATATGTGTACAATATGGTAGATTACGATGAATGCCGGTAGTTAACTTAAAATGTGTATCGATTATCAATCGTGTGTGTGTGTACAGTCTGTATTAAGAAATGACTGGATACTATATGAAAATTGTTAACCATATTTCAAGGATAATCTAGCTATAGAAAAGTAAGTAAACTGTTTAATTTTTATTAATTTTGTACAGCATATCTTGTATTTACATGTATTTGATTATTTTTACTCAAAAGTGACTATGGCTATAAATAGTTGGCAGAACTTCTTTAAGATTAACATTTCTTTACTTGAAAGCAAAACGTATCTGAAAAGGTAACGTTTTTATAAGAAAGTTTCAGTTTTTGTTTCAACCTCCGTATTGATATAATTTTTCTTGTTCTTCAGCTGTTGCGTGATGTGTGCAATACGATGGTTCCTTCTCAAAGGCTGTATATTCGGGATGTACATTTTAGTCACAGGTAAACATATTAGAAGTCAATATTTATGAAATCACTAAATCTATTTTAACATTACATTAATTGAAGAAAAAATAAGATATAATCTAGTGTAACAACCTTAATAATTCTAGGTGATAAGGGGGGTAGCGAAAGTCTTTTTTTTTTTTTTTTTTTTTTTTTGGTGGGGGGGGGTTGTTTTTTATATATTTTGAGATGACTGCTGAGTTGACTTCTATACACTTAATGATGATTTTAAATAACTAGTTGCCCAATGGATTCTTCGCTGCATTAGGCTTTCTCCTAGGTTTTCCTAGCTTTTCTAAAATGCTCCTAGGATTTCCTTGTTTCTTTTTATAAAATACTATTGTGACAAACACGACTCAATTTTGGTAACTTGCTTTGCTCATCAGGTGAATATTTTGAATTTGTTTTCTTTCACTAAGAAAAACCTTTCTTACGATTTAATTCTATTATATTTTCCTAAAATATATTTTGTAAAATGATGATATGATAAATATATCAATCCTGCCATTAACCATTTCCAACAAATTTCATAACTTGGCTGCAAATATACAACGGCATTTCATACCAATTTACTGCTTTTCTGATTTTGGCTAGTAATATAAAAATTAAATCCGGTCAACCTTGCTGTTTCACAGATTGGTCAGTGAGTGTATTAACATAACCTTTAGTTTACTTCCATTAAATATCTTACTCAAAATTGTAAACAATCTTTAAAGTGAGATGTAAATATTTTGTCACTGAATGTGATGAACTATTTTTAAAGTATTGTAATGTTTTAATGTTGACAGAAAACCAATTGTTAATATTTCCATAACAATCAAATTTATTCAGAAATATACAATATAAAAAGGATTTAGCATGTTTATGATAGTATATTTCTGCCACCAGAAAATAGCTAAATTTAGCCTGATATTTATGTGAAAAACTAATTATTTAACTAGAAAATAACTAAGTTAATTTTGTGAATAGCACGTTACGTAACAAGAAAATACTATCATGAATGAGATAAACATCTTGACTGAGAAGGGTGCATGCTATTGCAAAATAACTGTCACCACTTACAACATATCAACACATATATGTTAACGTAAGTGATAAACAATTTACGTAACGCGATAACTTCACATATATAATTAAGATAGCAATGTCATTTTCTAGTTCCTAAAACAAAAAGTTACTTAGGTTACTTGTCTTTGTTTAAAAAATGTAAGTGATCAACTAGCTACAGAACGCGTTTCCTAAACAATCAGCAGATAATTATCATGTATGAAGTCGCTGTCGCACTTTTGTTAAAGTTTTGCATCAAAAATTGTATCTTCCAAAATTACTTAACAAAAATGTGTTTTATCTTCACACACTTCTCTGAGAGGCTTGAAAGTCATTATCCGTAGCTCATTACTCTCACAAGAAAATTTTACATAATCATGGACCTTTTTGTACTTTGAGAATTCTTATTATTCAGGTTCTTGTTTTGCTATCAAGCACTAAAATAGTTGAGCAAGCTACCCTACCAACAACTCTTCTTTTCTTTAAAAAATGATAAATACAGTTTTTACAGTTTTAAGAGAGTTAATGTATTCATATTGAAAAATATTGCTTATTTTATCTAATTGAAATATATTTTAAAACAAACTAAAACAACAAAGATAATATCTTACTCCACAGTCCAGTTGTCTTTCTTTGAATGATATCTTAAAACCATATTGCGTCATTTTAAACAGATAAACGGCATTTATATTTTATTGATGCAGTATTTATATTTTTCAGGGGCAAGTGTTTTGCTGCAAACATTAAATGGAGAGACGACTTATTTAAAAGGCTCAAACGTAACGCTCGTTTGCACAATTACTCCCTATAATAATGAGATGACTTGGTATGTGGACAATGACCCATATGCTGGCTGCTTTTTAGGGACATGCGGCCCTTCTGCGAACAAACCATATACATTCACATTCACTTTTGATGAAACTGCAGGGGTTTTCAAACTCATTATAGATTCAGTGGATTTTTTTCACGCTGAACTTTCATTTGTTTGCGACGATGGAATTGTGACAGAAACAATTTCTTTCAAAGTGACAACAGGTATTTTTCTTTTATTAATGGATAAAAAAAAATTTCTTGTATTTATTCGTAACAGAAAATTGTGTATAACCTAGGAATACCTTTAAAGGATTCCATGTTGGCTGAATAAAAGCGTTTTGCTAACAGTTAAAGATCCTTAATGTGTGTATATTTTCTCAACATAATGCATGTTATGTGCCAGGAACATACACATATTATTATCATTAGATCAAACAATAAAATAGCTTGATTGTTTGTTTATTTAGAGGGCTATTTCTAATCTTTGCTATATTTCTGAAGTGACTTTACCATATCTAATACACGATGAGGTACATTAGGTCCTCCTCCACCAGTTAAGCTTTAAAGTCTCCTTATGACATTTAAAAGTGTAGGGCTGATTTAAATTTCAACAAAACAAAACTCAAATATATTGTAAAACAAAAAAATATATTTTTTTATTACATAAATATCCAACTTAATTGAGGTTGTACTTAAACTAAAATAAGTTTAAACACATGTTTTATGGCTGACCTTGTAATTTTTATTGCATTCTATTATAGCATGGTATTGGTAAAAAAAAATATCACTTTCTATTTGAAAAGAATCATTATCTAGAGGATCCCCACTACATTTGTTAAGATTTAGCACTATGGTCAAAATTGGCCCCGTCCAAGGGGTTCATTGATTTTCCTTATAAATAAATATATTGCAAAATATAAATTTTTCACAAAGGTTTCCCAGTACATTGATTATCACGTTTGTCGCGGCATCTCAATCAAGGCAAATAGTTTAAGCTATATACAGTATTGTTATACCGTCGTGTTAGTGTGCAAGACTTAGAAAAAAGACAAATCACTGTTTATACTGTTTATAATAATTTCGTCATGAACTTTGTTTCTAAGCCTTCTTTATAAATATAACCATTACTCTTACGTATGAGAAAATCTTCTTTTGTCTGTCATCTGGAGGCCAGCCCCTTTTAAACCCATTTGTTATATAGCTTTTTAGTTTTTATACCCCCACCACAAAATGTGGGGGAGCTATAATGGATTCGCTTTGTCGCGTCGGTTGGTCGGTCCGTCCGTCCGTCCGTCGGTCCGTCTCCATTTTCGTGTCTGCTCTATAACTCCTATACCAATTGAAGGATTTTCTTCAAACTTGGCTCAAATGTTCACCTCAACAAGGGAATGTGCAGAACCCATGTTACCCAGGTGTCAGCTCAAGGTCAAGGTCATAATTGAAGGTCAAATATCAAACACAATCAAATATTAGACAGTATGTCGTGTCCGCTCTGTAAGTCCTACAGTAAAGGAAAGATTTTTATTCAAACTTGGCTCAAATGTTTACCCCAACAAGGGGATGTGCAGAACCTATGTTGCCTATGTGTCAGCTCAAGGTCAAGGTCACAATTGAAGGTCAAATATCACACAATCAAATAATACACAGTATGTCGTGTCCGCTCTGTAAGTCCTACACTAATTGAAGGATTTTCTTCAAACTTGGCTCAAATGTTCACCTCAACAAGGGGATGTGCAGAACCGATGTTTCCCATTTGTCAGCTCAAGTTCAAGGTCACAATTTAAGGTCAAATATCAAACAATCAAATATTACACACTATGTCTTGTCCGCTCTGTAAGTCCTACACTAATTGAAAGATTTTCTTCAATCTTGGCTCAAATGTTCACCTCAACAAGGGGATGTGCAGAACACATGTCACCCTTTTGCCGACTTAAGGTCAAGGTCACACTTGAAGGTCAAAAATTGACTTAGAAAATGTTCTTAAATTTGAACATGTACTTGAATATTTCTGAAATTAGCACAGGTATTTGCTTGAAACTTAAAAAATTATATGAGGTGTCGCAAATAAGATATGCAGGTCAAATTTCAATATTCTGTATTGCATTTTGACAAAGTTAAGCCCCTTTTTAAGTCTTCAAATTGACATACAATCAATACTAGACAATATGTTTTGTCCGCTCTATAAATTCTATACTAATGGAAGGATTTTCTTTAAACTTTACTCAAATGTTCACCCAAACTGGGCGATGTGCAAAACCAATCTTAACCCTTGTGCTAGATTAAGTTCAAGGCCACACTTGAAGGTCAAAAATTGACTTATAAATAAAATGTTTAGTACATCGGGAAAATGAAAGGTTATTTGTAACTGTTTCGAACATCATTTGATAATATATATGGTTACAATTAGTCTTTTTTACACCAGCGATAAATTATTTTTATGTATTTGTGCCACTTAAGTTATTCCCTTAATCACCTTTCCAAGTCGTCTTCTGTCAAGGACATTGGTGGGGGTATGAAACGCATTCAGCGATAGTTCTAGTTAAAAATTGCTAAATTTCACAAAATGCTTAATAATGTTCAAATATAAATCATGTGCCTTTTCCCAAAAATAGCTAAAATTGTCCCTGTATGATTTTTTTGAAAATGTCACTGTGACCTTCACCTGTGACGACTGACCCAAAAATCAATAGGACTCATCTACTGACCGGGGCCTCACTTGCCTCTTCCCTCACTGAATATAAAGTAAGTTAACGAAATACAAAATATTTCGTTTTTAGGAATTAATATTTCAAAATAACAAAATAATATGTCGTAAAAATGAATGAATATTGAGTAATTAAGAAGTTTTCAACATTTAAAAATGTAATGCAATTTCGATTTAGAAACATCCGCAGATACATGTTCACACGCTGGTTATCATTAACTTTTCAATACGACACGTTTGTGTCATTAAATGAAAAGTGACGTATGGTCCCTGGGTTAAACATTGTTTGTGTCCTAAACGAGGAAACAATAAGCGGAAACAATAAGCGGAACAAAATATAATTTGGAAAGGGTATAAGAGGTTAAAAAGCCTGCACGTCACATTTGAGCAAAGAAATCATGGTCACCTTTAAGGTCACATAATGGATTTTGGCTGAATAACTGTCCTTTGTGAAAAATTTGATTGTATTTTCTTGAAATCCACACACGCAGTTTGTTTATGATTATTAAGTGGGCGTAAGTCCTCTGAGGATTTTGACTGAATTATCGTCTATTCTGAATCAGGAATTTACTTCAAACTCAACACCAATCTTGGGGTCGTAATGGAATGATAGTATCGGGTCAATTACTATTGCATTGATTATGACTGAACTATAGCCCGTTTTAACTGTTACAAACAATTCAAATGAATAAAATCCCTTTGTTAACATGGAAAATGATTTGTTAAAATTATGCCTGCGAAATATGAGTTCAAGTAGTCAAGTCTCTTTAACGTGTATGATTATACAAATCTTGAAGCACAACACAATACTGGATCAAATAGTGTACTTATAATGATTTCAGAAAGAACAATGAAATTAGTAATAAATAAAGAAGATAAAGCACAACCATGGTTTCACTAACATTTAACTATAGTGTATCCATTCATGTCTTTTATAACAATAAACTCAACGTTGTTTACAATTTACCTTGAACATTTATCGATACTAACAACTCAAACATTTAGAAATACTCCTCAAAATATATTTTAATAAGGAGATGCCTGTTTATGGCAGCAAATATCATTGTGTATGAAATTATGCATTCTTTGTAACATTAAATGACCGCAGACCAATTTTATAACAATGTCATGTCTTAAACAATTTAAGTAGAAAAATATCAATGAATGCTACGTACAATTATTATTATCATTATTATTATTATTATTATTATTATTATTATTTTGCTTTACATATTTTTAAATGGAGATTTTCTGGTTCACTCTGTCATCCACAGTTCTACATAGATATTTTTCTTATCATTTTTTGGTAAGGACGCCTTCCCGGCCAGTTGTAGCCAGGCAATAGGCATGTCAAAAACAGACCGAAACAAAACTTGAAGCACTTCGTGAATAAGAGAACTAAAATGTGTTTTACATGTAACATTTTGCAGGACAAACAAACACATGCAGTTTTCAAAGTATATGATAGTTTAGATAATAGGTACTTTGTTTAGATGTTTTAGCATTACTTAATTGATGTCGGATAATGTTGAATATACCAATAAATAACTACTTACGTTAACAGGTATCCTTGTTGATAAAATAACCTTCAGTGTGTTTAACTACACATAACTTCCTGATTTAAACGATTTGTGTAAACAATAATTCAAGTATACATTTCATACCTACAACGATTAAGTTGAAGATCATTTAGTGATAAAGTACATTATCTGTACTGTAAAGTATAACATTTTTGACATTATATGTTTTTCTTCTCCAAGTACATTGACCATTTACAGAATTGATGATAATTATATACTTTTCATATATCGAAATGCCTTTACCATTTATTCGTTAACATGCATCAGATAGTATTTATTAATAAATGCATAGAGAAAATTATAATAATCTTCAAATACTTAATCCTCTCTTACAAACTGTGTTTTCTTTAACTTTTCACTTTCTTTAGTATTGAATTTGACACATTTAAGGTAAAATGTTTCTGCCAGTGTATGCATGTCCGTTTTAATTGATTTGGCATATATTTACAGACTTGTGTACGCTGTAATTTTGGTCATAATATAGAAGAGAAAAAAGTCAGAAAACATAATGATGTAACGTTTGCATTTACATGTATCCGTTTAAAATTACCTATCATACATAGAGAACGTTTTGTCATGCTTGGTATTAAATGATCATTCATGTTATATACTATCTTGAACATTAGCTCTAATAATTATGAAATTACATATAGAAAAAGTAACTATTTCACTTATTTAAAAATGCATCTAACAGAGAATATAGTGACCATTGATATAGTCTTGAATATGAATTAAATTAATGATTTATGTTCACAACGGCTAAATAGATAAATTTGCTTAGATTATTTTGAACGGGTCTGTTGTTTGACTAACCACTATCTATGAAATTTTAAATAAAGTAGACTGAACGTATTAGGTTTTTCGCACGTACGTTTTTCATATAGCATGCGTACGTAAATCGTGCAACGTACATTTGATAAAAGCGTTTCAAAACCGTGCATAGTTTCAGAGAGTTTATCATTTATCGTTTTCGTGTACACTTTTCCGTTTATCGTGCGTTTGAAAGCGTGCGTTTTCTATCCTCAGAAGCATTCAACGTTCGCTTGCGTCTGTGTTTTTTTACCGGATTGCGGTTTAATGTGATAAGAGATTTAATCCTACATTACATGCGGTATGGATTTAATTGACCTCATTTCTCCTTGTAATCAGTCACAAAATATACACCCTGTATTAAGATCTGTAAGATATTAAACCTGCGACCCCTTTTACTTTGTATCATAAAAATACGATGCATTACTTCATTACTTAACATCTTGGAAGACAATACCAGATGTATGCCTACTTTTTAAAACACAAATAGCCAAAATTGTTAATCTATATGTCATCGCTGTGTTCCTGACATTTACCTGAAATGACAATATTAGGTAAGAAAAGCTTAACAATATAAGTACATAAACTGAAGCTATACATAATTTTGAAAAAAAAAGAATACTTGTAAGAAAGAAATATTTTTGTATGTTTCCTTAAAAGCCAATGTTGCATGCACAAAAAAATGATAAACGGTAATTATCCTCTGTTGTTATATGTATTTTTCTACTTTAATCATTAGAACTAAATAAAAGAGGCATTGTATGTTACAGTCCTATCGAAAATTGTCAATTATATAACAACAATTTACCCATTTAACGGACATAAATATCATGTTACGTGTCAAGCGTAACGAAACAGAAAAAAGCAACAACCGGGTAGCACAATTGGCAGAGAGCATAGTCATAATGCAAGGGCACCGTGTTCGAGTTAATATCAGTATGTTTATACTTTACATCCGTTGATTTTAACGCCCAGTGGGGTACGTGAATCGATATAAGTCTTAAACAATTCTTCTAAGTATGTAATTATTAGAAAACAAAGATAGTATGCCACTGTTTTGAAATCTTCATCGAATTAAGAGTTAATGTGTAAGAGGCCAGATAAGTATGAGCTATGGACCGGATGCACACAGTGCTCCAACTGTAACTTGACTATTTAAATTAAATGGATATCGAACAAACTATTATTAAATAATTATAAGATTTTGAAATAAACTTCCTTGAAAATCATTATTTGATCCAATTTTCAATATTTGCTTAGGTTTATCTGCATACATATGGTCGCAGTAAGTATTTATTATAAATTGATTATACATAATACATGCTGTTTGACATATATACATCTACAACACATGTATCTAATCAAAGCACCGAATGTACTGGTGGGGAGGCTATGACAGAATGTTTCAGACTTATAGTGTTGTTTTCTTTTTGCTTAAAATGTACGGTTATTTCAATTATTACCAAAATAGTCCATTGTGCCATTTATCGTTACTGTTGTGTTCAACCATTCATATATATGGTAAATATGGTGGATTATTCATTTTGTTAATATTCCAGAACTTTTCATTAAGGTCTACATTCGGACTGTTAATCTTGCAAATTTTGAAAAACGTTAACTGCCAATATTTAATGACCTACCAGCAGCAAGAATGACGACTGTTTATTATAAGATCACAATACCATTTTACAACTTACGGTTCCTTATCACAATATTCTAGGACTATTGATCATGCATGCATAAATACTTTATGTCATTTATCATGCAACTACTATGGTAACTGCCCGATAACACTTGCCTGATAATTATTTTTGATATCAGGTCAGTAACCTGATATCAAAAATAAGCCCCGCCCATTTTAACGGACTTTTTTCAATTGCTTATATTCTCATTTTTACCAGCATGTGAATTCTACAATGTAATCTCATACCCTTACAAATCTTGAATCAAGGTGCGATATTTAGGCCTATTATTTCGATTTCAATTACGAATGAATTAGATAGCGAATAGTTTTAGCTCCAACTAAATGAAGTGACGTCATAATTTATATTGCAAATGACATCATCGATGTTCACGTCATACTATACATGTAATCATAACAAACAGGCTAGACGATTTTCATTGAGATCTTGTAAATGTTTACTTTATTTCGCCGGATTATTATTCAATAAGTGAACAAATTGTTTCGTTTAAAAAATAAGACGCATGTTTGTGTAGCTTGTGTTTGATTGCCGATTTGACTTTTCTTTGATTGAAATTATCGTGAACTTTTGAATTTGACAATTTAAGACAAAAATTGCAGTAAAGTTTAGTTTATGTGATTTCTTAGTGGATTTTTGGATCGATGTTTAAATTAAAGGTAAGAATTTTATCGTATTAGGCCTACAATCTGTTGTATCTTTTATCCGAGTCGAAAGAAAAAATGGCCGCCAATAACAAATTCTAAGTTTCAGAGGCGGAGGAATTTTTTTCAAGAACTATTTCTTTGAACAAAAATGCCCCTTTTTTAGTTTTAACGAAATTCGCTATTTAAAAGTAGATTATTCTTTTATTTTGATAGTTGTTATGTGTTACATGATAAATAGAAAAACATGCTACTGTCTTTTGATATCAATTTTATCAGGCTCGGCTGATATGGGCAGAAAGGGCTCGGCAAGCCTCGCCCTTTCTAGCCCATATCAGCCTCGCCTGATAAAATTGTTATCAAAAGACAGTAGCATGTTATTCTCTATTTATCATCTTTATGTCATATATGCTTACAAAAGACTGGACTGTAATGAAAATGGTATTTCATTACATCATAATATAATTATTAAGATATAATCGTAAAGAGTTAGTAAAATAATAAAATCAACACATGTCTGTCATGGTAATAGTGCATGTTACCAACCCGAGAACTGAAGTAACACCCGAGGCGGGACCGACGGTTTTATTGCAGTTCGAAGGTTGTTAAATTGCACTATTATCCTGAGAGACATGCGGTTTTTTTTAAAGAACATCATTTTACAGTAAAACATTTTTATATTGTTCATGAAAACAGAGCGGCAAGTGGGAGTATTGCAAAAAGTCACCTGTTCACTATTTCTGGGGTGATAGATCAAAGTAACTATCTAGAAAAATGTTTACGTTTGGTAAACTGAAACAAAACACACACTATCTTGTGTATAAAATGTAAATGTATAGTCTGTCATACATCTATCCATAAATTGATATCTTGGATTATTTGTAATGCAAAAGCGTCTCAGAATGAGGCATATGAAACATAGAGTTTGTAATTTTAACGGGAATAGAACATTCACATATGAATAAGTGTTTTTGAGATAATACAAATTGGCTGTTTACTGAAAACTAATTGTCAATGATTTGTGTTAAATATTTAATAAAACCAAGATAAAATTATGTTTGTATGTTCAAATATGGTAATTATGTATCCATGGCAACACTGCTATTTATATTGATACATGTAAACAGTACACTTGAAAATTCAACTCGTCGTTTTTTTTTTAAATTCTTTTAAACGATCTCACCAAATGACTGTTTACTCTAATATGTGTTTATGAAACCTTATTTTACATGATGAAAAGATAAGATAATAAAAACAGCACAATCATGACCTTCCGTTTAAGTATCACATGTTGCGCATTCCCTCTTTTTGCAAAGTATAACTTAAAGGAGTGTGTGACATTAAATATGTATGTATATCTTGCTAACAGACAAATTTAACAATATACAGATTCATTTAATTACAGTTTATATTTATAAAAACGTTTAATGAATTTTAAAGCCACAATAACTTTTTTATATTTAACTTCATTTAAACTGTCATGTAAATCACAAAACATAACCAGTAAAGTAAACCCATTTCTCGCCTTTTTAAACTTTCCTTTCATAGTATCATGACACTTATTTTGTTCATAAAGATGATTTGCAAACCTTAAATTATCTTCCTCGTCTGTATTGATGGGAACACTAAGGGGAAGAATCGTAGTCAATACCCAACACACTCGAAATCTAATATATGACTCGTTCGTAATAGTACAAAACTCTTTTTTTCTCATTGAAAATGAGATATGTTTTCGTTGATAAGCAACTTAATATTCAGAATGAAAAATTAGCAAAAATATTAATGTAATACCGGTATTCTATTCGTTGATTTTTAATCACTTTCTTTCATAATATTTCACGTTATACTCAGAATAGATTTTAACACATCAGATGATGAGTTTTATTTTTGCTAAGTTTTATATATAAACATAAACAATTTTTTTCTGAAATATTTGTGCAGTACATATAATTTAAAACACTCATTTTGCATGCAATTTGCATTAAGTGAATATGAACAATCAACGGATTAATGTAAACTTCATTTTTCATTTTTCCAAAATTTTGAGAAGAAAACTAAAGAAACAAAATAATTTAAATATTTTATGCATAAATTATTTCTTTTTTATATTAAAAAATGATTGAAAACTATATCAAGACTTAATTTTTTTCCGAGTATTTGCAGATATTTTTAATGTTACCATGAAGAATTAAATGTGTTACGATGGTATGGTTCATAAGGGTGAAAGAGTTACTCCCCTAAAATAACTGTTTACTTCAGTATTATATACTTTATACACTCAAACAATAATTGACTACATTTATTTTGAATGTTCATTAGATTTCCTGGAACTAATTTTATTACAATATTAAATTAAAACAAGCCTGAAATAAGGACTTTAAACACACATATCAATTATAGATTTACGTTTCAATATGACTATTAAACATGCACATTATGTACTTTATAGCTTCTTTTTTATGAAATTATTACAAAATAAAATAAATGTTAAATACATTTCGAAAAATATGCATACATATACCATAAATAGACGGTGTAACTTAAATGAAACATTTTTTAAATAAGTCATTAACTAATTTGTTTGTGACTATATTGTAGTGCCACATTTCTCAAAATAATACATTACGTGGACCATATGCATATAAATATGTGTCAAACCATAGTAACAGAAACTACTATGTCCAAAGTCTCCTGAATGTCATTTAATAAGCAGAGAATGCCACGGGATAAAATGGATAATTCGGAAATGTCTTTGTTTACCACTATACCGATCTTACAACTTAATATATTACAATGAAATTAAAACAATGAAAATGATGTGAATAAAATCAATAGTAAGCAATTGTGTTTTTTTAGTTTTTTTTAAAATAAATCGTTAAATATGTAATATTCGAATGTTAAGTATTTTAATCAAAATTTGTTCGCCCTCATTAATTGGGTGATTGGGTGAAAATGAGATGTAGTTGATGTATGGAAACTAATTAAGAAACTTACACTACTTAAGAAGACTCTTGGGTCGTTTAAAACCTTAACATTTGCATTGATTAAAAGTGTATGTCAAACTTTTTTTCAGCTAAAAATGTCTGTTTGCAAAAACTTGGTTGACTACCCCTATATTAAAAGATCATGTTCATGTGTCACTAATTTCATTCTCCTAGATAACTCACGTCTTTTGCATGTACACTTAATTTTAAGGTAGGGTTTTAAGTTTAAGAAAAAATATATCTTAATTAATTTCTTAATTTTCATGAAAATAAGCATGAACCTGGAGCCATGCTTCTTTGAGACGTTCAATGTAAGTATAAAGGAATTTTGAAAACACTCTTTTTACAATATTGCATAATAAGTTTGACGAGTCATCACATAAATATTGTGTCCTACCTTTAATTGTGAGCCTTGTTAAAGTTAAAACACTACAGTACTGCAATGTTGCTTGAGTCTGTTACTTAAACGTTGATTGTGTCCAATTCTGTTAAGATGATACAGTGACACTCTAGCATTACCAGATGCCCATATCCATGGCTTCATGTTACCTTTAATGTCAAAAAAAATGTCGCATACAAGCGTGTATCTTTTATGTTCTTGTATATCCTAAAAATGATATAATTATCCTCCCTACAACTAAGAAGGTATTTATTTGTTGTGCGTGTTTTTTTATTAATAAAAGTATCCAATAAGTGTGATGTTGGCATGTCATGTGAGATCTCACTACGTAGGCTGAAAATTACAGCTGCATTAATTGTGTTTCATTTACTTATTATTTGATGTATACAGACACTAATACATTTACATTTTGTTTTAAAATTAAAAGACCGACATACTGACTAATTATTTTATTTTTGGTCACAGGTTTATTAGAGTTAAAGAAATGTTAATGCTTGAAAGAAATACTTTAGTTAGTAAATCATTTGTTCGCAATAAAAAACAAAACATTTTCGCGGATGAATATGTAATTTACAATCATTTTTGATATCGTTTTCATATCGTGGAAAGGCTTATTATCAACGTTATATAAAATTTCAAAAGGCACAATCGTAAATATATATGAATCATTGAAAATATGCCGTTAAAGCATGTTTGTAATGGATATTGTTTGCAACCTGAGTATTTTCATCACGCAATAGGAAAGTTTACAGATTAACAAAACGCAACCAATAATTAATTATATGCTTGATTCGTATGTTAGTACATATATGAAAAGTTGAAAGCTGCATGCATGTCGTTTTTATTTTTCCCTAATCATGCGCTATATAACATTTTTAATATCCGCAAGCTTAGTGAGCAAGCAATTTCACGATAAAGACCGACCGGTTGTAGAATAAAATTATGCATATTATAGCTTTAATTATTTATTTTTTTATTCATTTTTTTTCTTCTTGTTTTTTGTTTGTTTTATTTCATTTGCTTATTTCTCGTTTCTTCTTGTCTTTTTACATCTTACCTATTCTCGCCTTTTATAAGTATGATTCTCCTAGTTGCAGTAAATGGAGTCATTGGTCTTCGTCAGCTTTTTATTAAAATATTGTCAATCGTCTTGTCGGAGCGCTGCTTCTCGGCTGCACTGCACGTCGCGGCGCCGAATTAATTTATACTAAATAACTTAACTTTATGATATGATATTTAGCATTTTTTTTGGATAAAATTTAACATTCGATACACGTTAAAACCATTGTTCTTGTATTGTTAAAAGGTGTATGCAACTTTATGAAAGTATTTTTCATGTATTTGTGATAAAGAAGCATCATGATGAACGATGTATCCAGCATCCCATGGAAATTCGTTTTGTATAGTAAGTGGGTGGGGTACGACTTTTCGAACAGACTGCGTTAAACGTCGGACAAATATCAAATGACTGTGATTAAGTATTGAATAATATTTGAGTAATTAATCAACAATAAGTAGTAAACTTATTTATTTAACTTCCATAGATAAACTGACCGTTATTTTTTCGTGTTTTTCAGATTGGAAGCCTATGAAAGAAATTTGAACTTTGGACAATCTGATGTATCTGAACCTGATTATTATATTACGCTTCCAGAGAAAAGTAATTAAAAAGATGTTAATTCTGACACAAAATTCTGTCCAATTACATTAGAAAAGGTGAATGACTATCTTGAAGCGTTTGACAAAAATTTCGACATTGCACTGACAAAGAAAATTTATGATGAGAAGTTTTTACTATTTTTCCGCCTTGCAAGTGATGACAGTAAATTGTATGTTAACAGCTGTTGCCAGGCTGAGATGAAAAAAGTGTTTCATACAAAATCGATATTGTTTTTAAAAGGAATGGGGACATTCTTGAGAGTCAGTGTGAGTGTGCTGCTGGAATGGGGCCAAATGCACATTGTAAACATGTATGTACAGTCTTATATGCATGTATCATATTTGCAACTAAAAAAACATTACATGTAGAGGAAAACATGCACACAAAAGCTGTAGACCTTTCAAAAGTGCAAAAAATACATTGGAAGTCCTTTAAAGGCTAATCAGTAAAATTTACCAGGAGCAGATGAATTTACATCACTAGAATTTGATCCACGCCCTCCACAATAATTATTTAGAAACCATCCTGGTTACAAGGACCACTTTAGAAACTCATGTCTCAGTGTTGCTGGTTCATCAATGATGCCAATATTTCAACTGTTTGAACCAGCTAACAGCTTGGCTGTCGCTCATGATCATGACTATTTATTGTTAACCCCTGAAGATCATTTTTAGAGTGTATTCTTGTAACCAAAATTACACTGGAAGAAAGAAAAGCAATTGAAAGGAGAACCATAGGACAGAGTAAAAACCCTCGGTGGTATGATGAAAGAACAAAGAGATTGTCATCATCAATGTTTGGTCGCATTGTGAAAGCTCTAAATTCTGACAAAACAGACAAAACAAAACTAGCATCTTCATTGGTGAATGTAGTCAAAATAACTGCACCAGCATTAAAACATGGACTTAAATATGAAACAATGGCCATATCGAGATATATGACAGAATCTGGAGAGGAAGTTAAAATGTGTGGCATTGTTGTTGCCAGAGATTTTCCATTTTTGTCCTGCTCACCAGATGGCATTATAAATAACAAACGAATAGTTGAAGTGAAGTGTCCTTATTCTGCTAAAGATAAACCAATAAACAGTGTAACTGTGCCCTATCTGAAATCTGACAAAGAATCTGGATTTTATTTAGATAAGATTCATGATTATTTTTTTCAAATTCAAGGTCAACTTCTTTGTACTGAGGCAGAAGAGTGTGTGTTTATTGTTTACACAATAACTGACATGGTTTACTTTAAAGTACCTCGTGACGAAGATTTTATTATGAAAATGATACAGGGCTTGAAAACCTTTTTTGATTTGTATTTCAAGGAAGCACTTTTAGAAAAACGATTTTACAAAACATATGTTGAGTAATGGTGACACTTAAAAGATTTCTGAAAACATCAAACTTTGTTGATAATATTAAGAGAATACATGCATAGTGTATTGATGGTCAATGTGATGTATTTATAAAACTATCAAAAATATTTTGCTCATAGAATTATAGAAAAAATAAAATGTTGTGATAATCCATCTAATTTTTATTTTATGTTTTTCTTTGAAAACATTTTAGGTCTGTAATATGAAAATATTCACATTAACATGTTACATAAAAAAAAGTTCTGAAACTTATGCTTCAAAATGTATTTTAATCAAATCATTTTAAGTGCATGCAAAGTAAATTTTACACATGTATGTACAATGTATAAATTATGTTTTAAGGTATAGGCATAAATTTCAGACTTAAACTTAAAGGCATATAATGTCTCAGAAATCAATATTTTTTAATACTTCCATGTTTTATAGTGTAAACTGTTGAATAGTGGTTTAAGGGCATGCTAGACGTTAAACAACTAAAAAAGTAGCACTGAAGCTTAGTAATGTGTCATAAAGGAAGAAAATGTAAACAAAGTAGTATTTGATTTCCAGACAAAGTACTAACTATCTATAATTATACCGATTGCCAAAAGAGCTATAGTTGCAAAAGAAAGTCGATATATATGGCAAATGAGTATAACTTTGAAAACTGTATCAGAAAAAAAATAAAAAATTGTTTTTGAGAAATAAAATTGGTAGAATTTCTGAGACATAATGGGCCTTTAAATCAAACTTCAACTTTCAAAATTGAATTCATGCATTTGTGGAAATAATTCGTGGTCTAAAATTGCAAAGCATGAAGCATACAAATATAATATCTGATGAGACTTTAGCATCAGTACCAGACATTGGATAACACAAAATTTTGTATGTTTTTCCAAGGCCAATTAAGCGTTCTATATGTACTCTTTTGCTGGAAATTTGGCGGTCCTTCATAACAATTTTTCCTGACATTCTGTTCTTTTTTTTGAAAAATGTTGGCACATTAATTGTCACATTATAAGGCGCAAACAAATCTTGCACATTGAATCCTTTGTCTGCCATTATGGAATCTCCAGGATCACACATGGTAAATAGAGAAATACGTTCAACAATTTGTCTGTCACTTGTTGATCCACCATATAAGGGGGATATATATGTTATTACGCCTCCTGGTGAAGCACCAATTAAAGTTTTTACTGTATTCCGGTTCTTATAGGTTGAATATGTCGCCTGTTGAGCTCTTGGGGCCTTTGGTTTTTTTATAGGACACTCTGTTCCATCAATAACTACACGTGTAGTTGGAAATTTAGACTTAAAGTCTGAGGGAGAAAAGTAGCGCACTAAATTTCGTGATGGCCATATATTAATTTCACGCCACTGTTTAGACATAAATGTTATCCATGTATAGACTACATTTTTAACACTTCCCTCTGATATATTAAACAGTCTTGAAAGTTCAAAATGTGTCATATTCCTTCTTAGTTTCATAAGTGTGATGAAAAATTGGTTTTGCACAGAGATAGATATGACATGGTGGTATAAGTAATTAAGATTGTATGCTGCAGGCCCAAGTGTATTTAATACAAACATGAATTTCATGTAACTTTCTAACCCAGTGTAGAAAAGAATTCCTTCATTGTCATTTGCAAAGTTATCAATATCAAACATTGGTTTTGCTACTGTTTGCGAAGCACAATCTTTTACCATCTTTAATGGAACAGCAGTATATATATTATCATCATCCGAGGGTTGTACGATCTCTTCAATTACATCTAAAGGCTGCGAAAATTCAGCTTCTAAATGTCGGACAACATCAGACTCTCTTTTCCTCTTCCGACTTTCTCTCACACAAAGCCGTTCACTCCGACTTACATCTGATGGAGTTTTTGGTTTTGTCCATTGAAATAGCGTGGGAACAGCAGATGACAGGAGCTTCTGTTGACAGGGTTTTCTTCCTACAAAATAAAAAGTAGCAGTTTCTAAAAAAGAAAAAAATAATGTATCTTATTTAATCAATTTGACTGGTACTGAAATAACAATAAAAGGTAAATGATTAATTTCAGGGGATGTACCATTCACCATCTCCTATCGGTAATTCCCATAATTCGGTGAATAGTATGACATGTTTTACTTTATTGTCTTGTCCGTAATATACAAATGTAAAAAAAAATTAATAAGAGAAACAAAATACATTACATGCGAAAAATAATATATTTCATATCAACACCCTGTCTCATTCAATTTTAATAATTAAGACCGGCACTGACAGGGCCAGTAAATATGAATTATGATACTATATCCCTGGTCAAAATAGACCGGGAGAGACCGGTGCATAGTTTATCCCTAATATCAATTTGTTTTATCAGCAGCTGCACTAAATTAAAAATCACTTGCATAACATCATATAATACTGATCAATTCATTATAACTAGTAGAAAGGTTTATCATATTTATATAGGTTGCCACAGCTAGGTCAACCATTAACTTATAAACTATATCCCACATTGTGCAACACAAGCCTTCAGCTTTACCCCACCCACTGACACACATCATTATTTGTATCCAATTTTACCATAACAGAACGTATAATGTACCAATTTTTGTTTATTCCTAAATGTTTAAACAATTTATGAACGAAACATACCGTCTTTTGTTTGCTGAAGGTAATCTTCAGCCCTAAAATGCGACTTGCACACAACGGCTGAAGCCGATGGTATCCAGTTTTTCATTGTTTCAACATCGAGGCGTTTTATGGCTACAATCCATTTCTCCCGTCGATCTTTTTCGGTTGGGAATTCATGCCCTCCTTTATTGTGACAATTTGGTACACAACAACACGTACTCGGCATTATAAACTTAGAATTTTTGTTAAAAATCACAAAGATATAACTTTTCTTCCTGGTTTGTAGTAGGATAAAATCCGAGTACGCCGGATATTTATGGACCGGGTAAAGTGGCGACACCTACAAAGGAACGACAACTCACTGCGATTTACCATTGGCACATAACTCTGAAAATAGGCAAGCTATAAAGATATTCGTGTGTTGGGGTTTGATGCACGTATTGCATGTTAGTTTGTCCACGAACTTCTATAATTATATCATAATTTTACTTGTTAATATATAAAGGTAAAAAGTCAATTTAACGCTGGTTTGAAAAAAATAACATACTGTTGCTGTAGTGAGATTTACAATAAATAATTCACATAATCTGTGATTTTTTATTAATTTATTATTTATAGTTTATTTAATTTATTTACTTTTTTACATGTATTTATTTTATTTTTATGTTAATCCTTTTTTTTTTTAGAAATAGGACACGAAAAAGGACACATGTATTTTTATATGATTCTTTCATGTTGTGCTGTTGGTTTCAATTGCATAAAGATTATTAATTTTTATAACATGTTTAGTGATTTTCATTGTTTAGGTGCCTCCGTTTCGCTAGCAATAGGTGGTGGTATGTCAAGTTTTCAAGATGGTTCGGAAGTGGTTTTAATATGCACGATATCTCCCTATAACAATGTAATGACATGGCTTGTGAATAACGATCCATATGCTGAATGCTTTCTAGGCTCATGTGGTGCTTCTTCGAATAAACCCTACACATTCATATTTAACTTTGACGAAAGGAATGGAGAATTTAATCTCACTATACAGTCGGTTAATACTTCTCACGCTGATCTACTTTTTGCATGCGACGACGGGAATGAGAGGAAAACCACAACTTTCAACGTGACAACAGGAGGTCATTTTTTATTTAACTTTTAGCATAAATGTCGACAGTGTGTGAAACAACAACATAATGATCACACACAGTAGATTTTATGTACAATTACTGTCTTACACTTATTTTATTTTTATTTATGACGCGTTTGTGCTAGATTACAACATCAAGTGAGGTTAACATTAAATAGTTTTTTCTATAAAAATGTTAAATGAATAATAAATCTTAACAGAGAAAAAAAAACAAAGATTACATTGAGATATCAAAATGTTGGTTCTTTGTTGCTGGAATTACCTGGGGCTGCGTTCATTAAATGCCTTTCTGTGTTGATCTGTGTCCTTACATATAAAAGTCTTAAATTAAAATCAAATATACCCTCAGAAACGTGTGCGTTCAGAAGAATCACATGTAACACCCAACTGGATAATATGGCCTACGACTGCTATACATTGAGCTTAAAAAGTAAGGAAATGTCAGTTAAATAACTTTCTAAGAAAATGTCCCATTCAATGATTGGTGTTATACTTCCATGACACTTAATTAATTTAATAAGAATTTATAATACATGTATCAAATAAGACCATGCCTAAGCCTGAAGGAATTTGTTAGTTTAAATACACCACATAAACTATTTTCATCTGAAAATAAATCATTATTGTCATTCTCTGGTGCATTGTTCCGCCCCAACCGGTGGGGGTTCTTTACCAGACTTAGAGTTTGATGATATTCTACTCTGTGCTTCACTGCTTCGACGATAAACAGCATTTACAGGAACCGTCTTGCAAAGGGATTTATACGACCGAGCCTGAGACATTTTGCAATTTTTATTAGGCTATCTTTTTACATGATTCGTGCTGAAACACTAAGAATAGAAACCCAACTGGATTCGCCAAATTAACAATTTACCTGGATCAGAAGGGAATTTATTCCATCACATATACTTTTTTATCATAATTATCAAGTTTTACAACTGTCATATTCGAATATTGAACTACGCTCCAGCCGATGCTGGAATAAGTCCACCCGGTGCTGTCTTACCCAGACGGACGCCAGCTTTTGATTAATGCCTTCCTAGAAAGTGTTCACCATGACGACCAAGCGCGCAACACTTTACCGACTTCATTTAAGTTTCCATTTAATTTAATCAATATATACCCAAACACTTAGTGTATAAGTAATTGCTATCTCAATAAGTAAAACATTGAAATAAATTATTTATACGAATATATAATCGTGCAATGTGCTGTATAACCCATTCGGTAATGCCGAAGTCTTGGTTCCCATAAAACTATTGATTGTCATCATTTTTTTCTCAAGCATGCGATGAATAAAAAAACTTAACTATTCGATCTTAAATTGAATGTCTTATTGAGTGACCGCTACTTTTTAGTGTTGCCTCTTGGCCACCAGTGTTTCAAGGTTAAATATTTTACACTGGGCAGAAACAAACTGTTGGCGTAGGTTTGAAGTTTTAATATAATTCGAATATAATTGGTGTAAGAAAGATAATACAATAATTATAAGTATATACAATACATTACATATAAAAAGCAAAATACAGTTAAATAGCTATATATACAAAATAAAGCGGAATAAGAATTACAATTAATACATTATAATACATTAATAATTAATAATACGATTGATTTTTTACCACAGCGTGTGTTTAAGTAAATACTATTTCCATGTAAATTGAAATAAGTAAACACAGGAAAAGCTAAATAAACAACAATGTAGTGTACGTAGATTTATTAAATGATATTTAACTTAAGAACGTTCGAGATGACAGTTTAGAGTGAGGGGGACAGGAAAGCACAACGTGCGCAGAAGTGAAGAATATTTAAAAGAAGCAATGATTTTGTTTTTCACGTAGAAACATATAAAACATACACAACAATTGGACAAGTACAACACAGAACGAGTGACCGGTGTTTAGGATAGTGCACAGGTGAGCTTGACAATGTACATTAGTGACGGAAATTGTGGAGTTTCCGATTTAATACCGGAAGATAAACATATACGGTAAAGCCTAAACCATGTAAACACAATCGAATAAAAACACGCGTGCACGATGTTTTTCGTTTAAACGAATTTATGGAAAGCCACAACTGCCATAAACATATTATTTCAATATGTGACATTAGTAAATATTAAAAAGAATGACAAGCTAAAATGCATGTCCATCAAATATTGAACCAGATCACATAAATAAACCTTAATACGAGTATAAAGAACTAGCAATGCATTAACAGTTTGCTATTAAATTCAAATTTTATCATATTTCAGTATAAAAAATAAATCTGACAACAATGTACATGCAGACACAATCTGATTAAAATCAGTTCCTAATTAACGGTACTCATTAGGATCTGACTGGCACATAAGGGAGTTCACCTTCTCGATACCTTTTAAACAGCCAAAATCGGCGAGCTTTTATAATTTTAATCGCTGGAAAATCAGATCTACATGCAGGAAATAAAAAGATCTGATCTGTAGTCAGATTGAACCAGATATAGGAAAAAATTCTCATATTCGAGGGGTATCCGAAACTTCGTGGACTTTCATTGTTTTTAAAAATGTATTTGATATATTGATTTAAAATTCTTACACTGCTTTATTATTAACTAATAAACATATAAAAATTCATGTTAGTACCTTCTTATATCTCAACACTATTTAATTTTACATAAACCCATGTCGGCCAAAACGTTATTTATATAAACGTCATAATAATGTACAAATTGTGTTTTAACGTTACGCAGTCAATAACCGTTACTCCTCGAAGTAATGTCCGTTTTCCCGTCCATCACTTAATCTCTTATGCCACTTAAACACTAATTATCGTGAAATTTTATTTTCTCTGTTTGCTTCTTGAAATTTTTCAAATGTTTTTGTAGGTGACGTGATAAATTACCACATAACTATATGATCGCGCGATTTTATATTTTCTGCACGTGCGTCATTTTCCCCTTTGTAAACAATTTCGGCGTCTGGCATTTCTAGCGATATCAACAAAAAAAACGGAAATAAGGTACACAATTTAGAAAATAAAATAAATTACTTCATGGAAGAAACATGCAATGTTAAGCGGGTTTTAAACGTTAATTATTAGTTTTTAAGCAAAAATAAACGATGACTTACTGCACATTTCTACCGCGCGCCGGAAGCCTGTATGTGCTTATTTAAAACAATATAAACTTATATATTGACATAATTGAAGCAGTTGACTGTCAAAATGTGTTGATAATATTCTACCAGTTATGCTTATAAAATGTCATTACAATACACGTTAACGTTCAAAGGATATTAAATAAGCACACAATTCTTGGAGAACCCCTTGTATATGGTTTGATTGTTCCTTTATTAAATAAGCTTATTGTATGGTTCTGTTATCATAGTTTTGTTAAATGTGAAATAAGCCAAATAGAAAATTAGAAAATCATCATGGCTTAGATTGTTAATTATAAATATTTTCAAAATGTGTCGTGCATTTTAAAGATATGATAATATAGATGTTGCAAACAAGTTATAAGTATAGACCTATATCAAATGGTACACAAATCTCGGAAAATATATTTCTAGTCCCGTCTTTTCAAAATAAAAAGATAAAACACACACACACACACACACACACACACACACACACACACACACACACACACACACATGTTTTTTTTGCAAAATAAAACTTATTCAGAGCTAGATAGTAAACTGCTGTTTAATTTTCATGAATAATGACATAAATGTATCAATTGATTCTAAAATATCACCATATTCTACATACACGCTCTTGTTTATCTTGGAATGTTTTAAAGCCAAGTTGCATAAAGAATAACTTCGTACTTTGTTATAATCTAAAGATTGCCAGTGTACTTGTTTTTAGAGGTTTCAATCAGTACTACCATACAATTTCAAAGTATATGACAACTTGCAACTTTATTTATATATTTTAGTTGTTTGAATTGGTGTAGGACAATTATGAATATATCAAAAAAGCTACTTACTTATAAAGGTATCTTTGTTGATAAAATCGTATAGTATGTATAAATGTATAACTCTATAACTTCCTTATTAAGATGTTTTGTGTAAACATACATGTTTTAAACACGAAGCGATAGTATTGAAGGTCATCAAATTATAAATGTGTGATTATGTGATTTTGTCTTTTCTTTTTTGTCGTTAAATATTGGAGTGTCACCGGCCGCGGACCTTTAACTCTTTGGCAATGACTGTTGGTTAAGACACAATTATACCATCTTAAACCAAATTGGAATGTAGTGTGACGCAGCCATTATATAGCAAGAAAACACATCCGTTGACTGTAAAGTAGCCTGTCTAGTATTCATTTTTGAACTAAAGCAATATTATGTTAACTGTCACATAGTAAAATATTTGAAAGTATCAAAAATATCATTGCTCATATTTACCATTTAAGCATTAATTTTACTTTAGCACTGTTAGAGTTAAGGTACAAATTTAAATGCCAATGAGAATAATTAATATTACAAACGAAAATAAAGAACAATATTTTCGAATACTTTCAATACCAATTGGTTAAGTGTCAACCAGAAATCTCAATGAACAGAAAGTACTTACAACACGTATGTTAAAAATTTAAACATATTAATATAATAATTTCTTTTTTGTATATTGCTGAATACATTAAAATGTATATCACACGAATTAAAGAAACTCCACCAAGGTCAAAAAAAGCAAACTAAAATCATTTATTTTCAATTTCTCACATAGATTAACTGGGGCACTTAAAACATAAATGTATGCAACATATATTCAAATATAGTTGCAACGCTTTTCATTTTTGGATTATTTTTCACAATAGGAATAATCATATTTGAAAAAAATAGTGAGCGAATGATCAGACATTTTGCACACAAGTTTTTTGTCTAGACCTGCATCAAACGGAACTCTAATTTCGAAAAGAATACATTCAGTCGCGTCAAGTTATAAAATCTCAGTGAAGCCCCTTTTAGTTGTGTTTTTTAAATTTTCATATTGATGTAAACAGAAGTTTCACTTTCTTTGTCTATGCTATTGTTATAATCCGGTAAAGTAGAAAGTTCTTGTATAATTGTAGAATTTCTTTGAGCATAGAGATTTGTTGTCACTACTTGATCATAAACATTTCCGTCCTTTTTAGTTGAATCCAAATCTTCGTACGGTGAATGAGAATTGTAAACTGTTCCTTAAAAATTAAGTCACACAAGATTTAAAACAGACTGATTTACTAAATGATTTATTTCTTAAAACAAAAATATTATTTTAATCAGCCAACTTAGTTAAGTAGCCAAATGTGTCAATATGACACCTATCAATTTTAATAGGTAATTTCAAAGTGAAGCCGTCAGCAAGGATCTACAGAGCATATTACAAAATGTGTTTACTTCTAATGTTATTTCTACAAAAAATTAATCATTCCGCGTTGCTATCATTTACGTTAAGCTATTTTCTTTTAGATGAGATACAAGTTAAAGTGTTTATGTTAATTTACACACACGAATACAGTTTAATTTCAGCACCTGCTTAGCGAGTAAATGTGTAAATACGTACTAGGTTTATTTCACATTTATCAAAATAGCTATGACGTAATATGTAGAGGTTACTACATGGGGCAAGTGTGCCTTTAGTCCATATTGGCACATTTGGTGACTTATTTGCCCGAGGGCTTGATTTAAACAAAGTGTGCCAATATGGACAAAAGGCACACTTGCCCCATGAAATGACCTGTTTATTGCATATGTTCCGTAGCAATTTTTCAGACTGGCATAAAATCAAGCAATAACGTAATTGTTCTAATATATTTATTAACTGGATGTCCGTGTTGTTCGATTATATTATCTAAATCCATCAAGCCATTCGCTAAAAATTTCAACGTCCTTTCGACTCCCATTTTTTGCGATGTGGTTGTCAATTACGCAACGTGTGTACGCGCAGACGTTCTGCCGTTACTGTACAACAGGTGCGTGATAACCGGAAATAGCCTCAATATGGGATTTTGGCACACTTGGCAAGTGCGCCAATATAGCTGATTGGCACACTCGCGCAAATACGGGATTTTCGCATGTCATATTCATATTACTAACAAGAATTTGTAACAGAGCTACCAACGTCCCCGGCCTCAGGAAACTTTTATATGAAGCATAAAATTGAGGAGGTATGGATCTCAGGACTTCCAGTCCAAAATTATGATCAATGCTAGATCTGCAAATGCAACAATAAATTTATCAAAGAAATAAGATGGAACACAGAATTTAAAAACCCATCATGTTAAGCTTTGACCTCTAAGTGTGACCTTAACATTGGAGGTAGGGATGCAGGTGCTGTGCATGACATTATTGCCTTATTATTGTAACTATTTGTGCCAACTATTTTCAAAATACCTTGAACTATAAAGAAGTATAGATTGGACACAAAATATGCCCTATAACAGACTGTGTTTATCTTTGACCTCTAAGTGTGACCTTGGAGGTAGGGACCCATGTTTTGCACCTGACATATCGTCATATTATAGTGACTATTTGTGCCAAGTTTTTTAAAAATCCTTTGATCTATAAAAAAGTCATGGACTGGACACAAAATATACCCTTTAACAGACTAAGTTAATCTTTGACCTCCCAGTGTGACCTTGACCTTGGAGGTAGGTGACTGGTTGTTGCGCATGACACATTGTCTCATTATTGTGAACAATTGTGGCAAGTATTTACAAAATCCCTTCAAAGATAAGAAAGTTATGGACGGGACACGACATATACCCTTAAAAAGACAATGTTGACCTTGAATGAGCAAGTGCGACCTTGACCCTGGAGGTAGGGGTCTGGTTGTTGCGCATGACACATCGTCTTATTATAACAAATATCTGTGCCAAGTTATTTCAATATCATTAGATAAATGACAAAGTTATGGACCGAACACGAATGTATGACGGACGGATGGACGGACGGACAGAAAGACGGACGGACGGAGCCTATTTCTATATCCCCCTTTTTCATTGAAAAGACGGGTGACAATTATAGTAACATATGCAATAAGTTATAATTATTGTTATAATTATTGTACCTCCTGTATCTTGTTTACCGGCATAATGTTTGTTCTTCCTGCAAAAAGTTTGAAAGATACATATAAAGCAATAATTATTGAGTGAAAATTGTTTAGAGACTAGTTAAAATGCATGTTGCTTATGTTCTCGCTGTAATTAGTATTAGTTTGCAAAGGATTCACTATCATAATCAAAGTGATTGATCAATGATTGAAATTCTTGTGATACATATGTATTTTCATTTTGACTTATTTATGAATGTGAAAAGTTCTTTTGTGATAAATCATGACTTCTTAATTTCACCCAACCTGATTGAACATGTTGTAATGATGTTAATGACAGCCACAACTTATGTTTTGCTCGACATGAATTGATATATTAAGAATGCTGCTTCTTTCCCAATCCATGTATATTATGATGTAAAATGACACATGCTAAGTTTCCTAAATAAAAATAAAATAAACATACTTACCTTCCGCGCCTATAAAAGAACAGGAAAATAGTAACAATCGCTATTGTTCCTGCAAATGTACCCACCCCGACACCGACAAACGTTCCTGTACTTGTTTTATATACAACTGTCTGTAGGTCGGATGCGCTTGCTATTAAAACGCAAAATAAAGTACATATATTTATATTTATTATTGAAAACAAACAAAGCCACATAAACAAAAAAAAAATGATAACTTTAACATTATGGACTTTTAACCATATTGGAATGCTAACACAAAAACAAATATACTGTAAATGATGTTCAGATAAAGATAATGAAAAGGTTTGTCCAGAGCAACAACTTGTTAACTTCATATATCGCTGCATAGCAAAGGGTAAAGGCCAGTTATCATAAATTTATACATTAAATTTTGTGTACAGTGGCATATTTTTGAGTCCGTACAAACTGTTTATGATATATATGCTTAATTGTCTTTGTACTGATTTTTGGTTGCATTTAATGAACCTTTCAAATAAATACGAATATCCTATCATATCTTATGTATATTATCGAAATTGCCGCCTATATATTTATTAACTTTTGTATTAACGCGACCTTTTAGATTGCTAACATTTGTCATGTGGCTTTTATTATTAAAAAAAAACAACAGAAAAGTATGTTTCGCTTTCAATCATATTAATCTGAATATACATATAACGTGCCCTGAATATAATGCGGAAATATTGATACTATAAGTAAAACATTTATTTAAAAGCTACAAAAATAAGACAAGTTTCACTTTATCTCAATGTTTTCTACATATCGCGGATACCTAAGAATGTGATATTTAGGACTTGACGTCAATGATGATAAGCTTACCGTTTGTTGCTAACTGTAAAGTTTTTGTATTGGAAGAGTTCCCCTTTTTATTCATTGCAAACATTCTTATATTATACGTTTTAGAACTCAACAAGCCAGTTAATGTATAGCTTATTGTCTGTTCATTTGTATCCGGAACTTGAACACTATGCCACTGTTCTTCCTGACTGATATGATATAATAAATTGAATGTTTGTGGAAAGCCACCATCAAAACCTGGTGACCAAACCAATATTACTGATGATTCAGTGATTGACCCCGATTTGTACGTTAAATTAATAGGTATATCTGGCTTATCTGTAAAAAGAAACTTAGAATGAAGAAATGATATTCGCAAAAACGACATTATTCTAAATCTGAAAATTATTATTAATCATAATATAGTTACTGTCACGTTATTTTTAACAATACTAGGCATATATTATTTTCATAACAAAATGATCAAGACTGTTACACAATAATAAACACAATAATCAATACCAGTTTAATTTGAAAATTAATATGAATTCAGAAATATAGTTTACCTTCTGCTTGCAACATAAAGTGATGGATATACTCTCCTATTGTGTTTGAAACTTTGACGCTATATTCTCCAAATTCCCTTTGTGTAATGTTTTTAACAGAAAGGCTAGAATTCAATCCAATTGAAGTTATTTCAAATTTTTTATCATTTCTGTCGATTGAAATGTTTTTGTGAAGCCACATAAATTCTGTTTTATTTTCTTCATCCAAGTATTCATAGGCAACAAAATTCAAAGTCTTGTTTGTATATTGAGCAGCTGCGATCTTATTGGGGAATATGCTTTCAAGTGTCGGTCGTGGTGAACCTGGAACTTATACAATATTTTTTTATAGAATTAGTCACAACCATATTAAAGCAAGAAGGATACATAACTTCTACATCCACAGATCATGATCACCAAAGTAAATGGACCATCCGATATATTTACCTACTAAAATACAGATTAATCTTTAGCTAATAAATAATGTACATGTACATGTAAAATGATGTATAAGCAAAAAGGAAAAATATACATAAGCTTATCTGTTTTGAGCGCTGTGGCGTCGTTGTTGTCATCGTCATCAAGCACCACCTTTTGTGTAGCCCATTACCCAATTAATTTCAAAGGTATCAATATGAAACTTGGAATACTTGCTTATCATGACAAAAACAGTTGAAGGACATGGAATTTTATTGTAAAAGCTATTTTTAGAGTAATGTCCCCTTTTTTTAAAGAATGAATTCAAAACAATAAAAGACATCAACATGAAATTCTGAAGACTTGTTAATCTTGTCATTCACAAGTTATAAGCCTATGGTATGGTGGCTGATTAGTGTCATTTCGTGTTATTGTCACGCCACCCCGCCAAGCAAATGTTGACAATTAACAAGTTGAAATGCGAGGAGCGGAGCAAAAAATCACTAATAAGCAGGGCAAAACTAAATAAATAAAACAGCCGCGTAGCGAGATTTCAGAAATTAAACGGTGGGCGTGGAGCGAAAACGCGCTTATTTGCGACGGCGCAGGGCGATTTATAATAAATAAAAACGTCACCCCGCGCGGGATTCACAGCGAGATTTTAGAAATAAAACAGCGGGGGTGCGGAGCGAAAACACCCTCATAAGCGGGGTGTGAAGTCAGAGATATAAAATGTCGCCATTCGCCCCCACTGAATAGCATGCTTTTGCTCCGCGCCCCCACCATTTATCTTGTTAATTCTCAACTTTTCGCTTTGCGGAGTCGCGGGCGAAAACACAATAGGACAAATCAACCAACATGCAAGGGAACCTTTGCTAAAAGTTATACATTAGTAGTAATAATAATATGATGCCTCTTTTTTAACTTAAAATTTATGTCAAAATTGGTTAAAATTCAAAAGAGTTCAACACTTAACTGTGACTAGGCGCAGTTGAAAACATTGGGGATTCACCTAAAATCAATATTTTAAGAGTTGTGTTCCTTTATATTTATTTTTTTAAACATTGCTTATTAAGTAGAAAATTAAAAAAAAACTGAAAAATTTGTCATTGAATGCAAGGCACAGTTGAGTGACATTTTTTTCTTCTAAAATTGGTACATGATTGCAGAAATGTTCGCCACAAGCATATAAATAATCAGCAAAATAGAAAATTGTTCTCTATTATACCATTTACGTATGTTATTTGAGCACAGTTGCATGTAAATAGTTTTGCCATTGCCGTATATAAAATAACCTCTTTTCTGAAAAGAATTCTGCATAGAAAACGGTTTTAACAGTTATAATGCAAAAGAAAACTACTGATCAGAAGTGAATGTTTGTCATAAATAAGAATATTAAAAAGTATTGCTATTGAGCGCGTAGATAATTTAATTCTGTTTTAAAAAAAACCTTATACATTCAATAGAGTGTTCTTGTATCAGATAAAACATGAATATCTTATAAAAAAAATAGAACACATCACAAAATGCCACACACACGGACCATAATATATACGGACTGACTTTGCATAAACAGTTTACAGCAAGCAGAAAAAAACATGTTTTTTTTCTGGATACCTTCAATCCCTCGACACTCGCTGATTTGGTTTAAATCTAAAAATTTAGAGCAATGCAAAACAGATTAATTCATATTTTTTTTCTTAACTGAAACAGCGATCGCACAAAACATTAAAAAATACAAAATTTACAGATTCATCAAAGGACGTACATGTTACATAGAATGGAACATGTAAGATAGGAAGATAGGAAAATGTTAAATGTATAACCGATACGTGACTCATCCTTTTACTTGCAGGTATACAATCTAAAAGTTAAGTTATAGTATCCTTTTGATACGGCGTACCGGTAAATGAAAAATATTGATAGCTTATTCGTTGTGAAAGAAACAAGTATTTTTTATCGTTTACGCCAATGGTAAATGCACAAAGAAAGACTAAACGAGACTAAACGAGAGAAAGTCATATGCAAAGCAGGTTAAACTTACATTTGACAATCATTGTCAGTTCTGATACTGATGGTTTATCTTTTGTGTAAATGTTTCTGCCTTCACATTTATATTTGCCTGCGTTTTCGAACGAAGCATTATTTATGCTGTAAAGAAGCACATTTCTGTTTTTTACTGTCAATATCATACTGTCACGTGTATTGTATATAGATAAATCCGAGGCTGGGTTAGCTTCTGCTGTACATTCTAATGAAACTTCATCTCTTTGGTTTACAATAAACGTTCCACTTGACTTGTTTTTTACAACAGTAAAATGTTTGATTTCTGAAGAAACTGAAACATATTATTATAAGTCAGAATAAAAAATCATATGTTGCCTCCCTAAATATGTTTAATTCATTTTCGCTTATTAATTGACAAATTACACACTACGGTAGAAAAAGCGGAAGTTGTGCCGAAAGTTTACTTAAATAAAAAATATGTTAAATCCTTTGCTTCTCATAAAAGGAAGGCTTTAAAATATAAAATGAAATATAAAATATTCAGTTGAAGATTTAGCATTGATGATAAGGATAAAATACATTTTTACTTTTTTCTGATGAATGGAAAAGTCAAGTATGCTTATGTGTTATACAGTTTCAAATGTGATTTCAATAAAACGACTAACTTCTCTGTGAACGTGTAACCAATTAGGTCTGGTTACAGGTTTTTTATAAGAACGTAAGTCTTGATAAATAAGAGCCTCAAAAAGTTCACATATTACGCTTGCATTATTCACGCTCTTCCGATAAACAAATATTAACATTGAGTGATTGATATAATAGTGATTTTGACTATAATAATAACACAGAAAACTTACAAAAAACATTTAGATGTATTGTTTTGCTTCTTATTATCAATGTTTCGTCACCAATTGTTGGGATGATTGTACTTCGTAAAGTGCATGTATAATGTGTATCGTCTGCTCTAGAAACATTAGTTATAATCAGTACGCTATTCTTCCAAGTGTTGCCATCACTTATTCTAGTCCATGACACACTTTCTGTAGTTGGGTTTCCCTTTTGAACTCGACATGTTTCATTTAGGTCTGAACCTTCGAGAATACTTATGTCTTCTAGTAATGAAATGGTTGATGGATCTGCAACCGTGTTTTAAAAAAAGGTAAGGTAGTTAAATTCAAATTATGCAGGCTCAAAAAAAATTATGTTAGAAACATTTGCATTTCTCCACATTGCAAAAGTCTACAAATAACTTATATATATAAGTCCATACGTACACAATATGTCGAGAGATATGCTGGAAAAGTTTAACCCATGTTCAGTGTCACCAAAACTGCGTTCCATCACGTTACTCGCATTACACGTGTACTTCCCGGCATCCTCTCGAATAATATTAGCAAATTGCCGTATATTTTCATGTATTTGATCATTTTGGCTAGTCCAGGTGTATTTTGGAACAGGTTTTCCATCAGAAAAAACAGGTAATATTGATGTTGTCTGTTTTTTTCAGTTGTATAGTCGCTGTTGTGACGTTAACTTGTCTCGTTCCGTTCGAAATTGTGAACTTTGGAATATGTGGCGGATCTTTAAATATAATGATAAGCATTAACAATGGCAGTATTTAACCATTTACTGGCGTATTTAGTAATTTAAGTACAATCGTTTTAAGCAACACATCTTATATGCATAACAGAAAAAACGAACAATAAAATTAACAATAACGTATTTCTTTTACTCAGTTTATTTAAGATAAATCTTAACGCTATAAATCGAAGAAATACAAGGCGGTATTTACTCATGCGTAAATATTTCAAATATATAGACCACTTTTATAATACAAGTACACGGTTACAAGTTACTATTTCAAATTCTGTTCCAACCAGTTCTTAAATTCATGCTTTATGGTACTATAGATATACATACAAAGAACCCTGATGAAAAATGACGCAGATGTCGATCCTGTTCGACGTTCACCGACTGTTTCCTCCATTGTGTACATTGCATGGCATGTTTTTCTAGTGTCGTAAGTAATTGAAGGTATCTTTAAAATATCGTTGCCCTCATTACTGTCCCACTTAATTGTAGGTTGTGGATTTCCTGTTGCACGACAATGCACTGAAAACGAGTCTCCTGTTATAACGTCTATCATGTTTTGAGTACTGCCCTTTGTGCCATTGCTATATTCATATTTGAAATAAGGCTTCCCAGGTGGATCTGTTAAAACATGACATTTTATATTATTGACATTCTATTTCCCCGTGTGTGCACTTACTTTTTTAAATTTGAATACTACAAGAATGTTAGATAGCTGCGTACATTTTTACAAATCTATTCTATTATTAAATAACCCAAATTTGTATATCTGAGATAAAAATGTCTAACCAGAATTAAATTAATTGAGAATAATTAACATTTTTTCAAGAAGTAACGATAATAATAAATATTATGCATGTCGGCAGGACCTGTCCATGAGTAGGTTGGGTGTGGCTTGCTTTTACTTTCGCATTTAACGTGGACGGTGTTGTTCAGTATAACGTTAATAACATTTGAAACGTCTGTATTGCTGATTATTAATGTTGGTTTGTTTGGAGAGTCTTAAAAATGTCAATATATCTTATAAAGCTAATTATTGGCATTTATCATATAAGTCATATTGAACATAAATTAAAGTACATTTTGCATTTTCAAAAACATTTTTGATACTTTTATCACTTTAAAGCAGGAGGCTTATTTATCTTTAAGGACTAAAGACCGTTTGGTTACTAACGAAAGTCCAAATTTCACAAAATAATGATACATGTTGTGAGAATTAAAACTTACAAAGAACATCAATCTGTATTGTCGTAGTTTGTGTTGTTCCAGACCAAGAATGATTTGAAATACAAGTACAAGATGATTGATCACGTAAACCTGGCCATGAAACAGTGCTGGTAACGTTTTTGTCTTCAATAGTTGTCGATTCCGGTTCATTGTTATAGCACTTCCATGTCAAAGTAGCAAATGGATTCCCGCCATGTGTAGTGCAAGACAACTTGCCTATTTCTGATTCTATCAGTGGATACTTTTCGCCGTTCTCGAATCCGGAAATAACAGGTGGCCTGTCCGGAGGGTCTTTGTTTTATTACATAAAAAAATATTACCATATATCAAATCATTCACATAAAGGTCTTGAAACAGTTATGAGTTGTTATACACATACCCTTAATAATAAGAGGTTAGTGACGGCATTAATGTCGCTCCAATGACTGTGAAGGCTCTATATGACAAGGAACAATTAGTATTCATACCTAAGGATAAAACAGGTATTAGGTCAAAATTAAGGTCATCTGATACAAATGCAACAGTGTTCAAAACAGGAATGATAAATTATTTTTGAAAGAAAAGTGATCGGTTTCTTTGAAAAATTAATGGTTACACTAGTTAAACAAACAATATATAATTTGGAAGCCATTAGTTGATTAGGGATGGCTATTGCAGCTATTGATGACAATCGTGTCTGAGGAAGTCACTGATTACTTTGGAGAGTCATTGTTTGCTATAGAAGTACTACTTGCAATGTACAGTCCCTTGTTGTCATGCAAGACACTGGCTTGTTTAAAATAGTTATAACTATGTACGTCAAGCAGCTATCGAAAATCAGTTGTTGTTGTCGAAGTCATTGGTTGTCAGGAATAGTCAATTGACTTGTTGAAATAGAAGCTACTAGTTTTGTAAGTCACTGACCGTTTTGGCTGCCAAAGGTTGTTATTGAAGTTTCTATTTGCTATGACAAATGAATGGTTGCAATGAATTGCACTAGTTGCGTAGAAATTGAATGATTTTTGGCAGTCAGTGGTTATTCCTGGAAGTAAATGGCTGCGAAGGAAATGATTATTGAAACCCGTAGTAGAATAAGCAATTGATAAGTCAGGAAAGCCCGTGGTTGCTATGGAAATTTAATGGTTGCAAAGGGAATCACTGTTTGCTATTGCAAATCAATGGTTGCTATGGGAATCACTTCTTCTTGTTTACAGTCAATGGTGGCCTATTTGTTTTTGTCATTCTTAAAAACGAAATATTTAATCATAGTCGCTACCCTTATAGTCCGATTAAAGTAAATTTTAGCATTAAACAAATTGCAACACAAGCTTTTTTTTACATTTTTGGTCTGTTATACACATCATATAAAACAGATAAAAACTCTAAACAAATCTAACCTTGTTAAACCAGAAAAAAAGCAATTCAAATTTTGTATTTGTTTCGAGTTTTTATATAGCTCTGCATGTACACCATACACAGAGTTTATGCTGTAACCGGTGTCGAGGTAAACAAAAGTTATGAGACCGCGCGATTTATATAAATCAAAATAAACATATTTACTACCTTGAGTTAGATTTAGAAGCTGTTGTGCGAAATATGCATAAATTTTCACATTGTATTTACTTGCTTTTACAACTTTTAGTTTCGTACATGTCTAAATATCTCATACTTTGAATGAATTGTAATGGGTTTTTGTTTGTTTATAAATCAGCGTTTGTCGTTTAAAACATTAAAGATTTTTTCAAGTTTCATAAGGTATAAATAATCATTAGCCTATATATTAACATTCCTTTTGGTAATAAGATGTTTATGAAGTAGGAAACATAAAATCGAACACTTTTAAGTTTATCCTGGGTCTAAGCTTCAAAAATGTAACTACGGAAGCGTGTTTGGGTAAACAATGCACGAAATCTTGAATAAATTGTTAGTAATTTTAGAATTATAAATGCATGATATTTATTAACAGATTGTTAGTTTTTAGTTTTCATTTCAGATTAATTGTGTTACACTAAGTACGGTGGGATAGTGCAATGTGATTTCCAGTAATCATTTAATAACCCTTGGAAGATAAGACTTGAAAAGTAATACTGAACGTAATATATTATCTTTTTACAAACTAGTGATATATGGGATGTCACAGGAGTCCAAAACAGATTCAGAGTGTACAATAATTATGTAATTTCAAAATTGTAATTCCTTAGAGGGTGAAATATTATTTTACAGTCGCAGTTTTTAAAGCAGCTCAAATTGTTGTTAAGCTACACGGGCTACAAATCTTGATGAAGAGCTATATTCGGAGTAAACTATTGCTTTGCTGGTAATAGATCCAAATTTTTTAGCGTTAAAATGTACTATTGTTGTACTATTTTACAAACACATGACGATAAGAGTTTTAAGTCTTTATTAAAATATAAAATTTGATAGCTGAACATTAAACTTTATTCTGAGATACTATTAACCTTTGGAGAACATGTGCCTATCTTTAATAGGGTATGTCTTTCTGTTTGCTTCCTTTTCTTATGCTGTCAGTCCTAAATTTATGAAAACTACAGTATATGGTCTGTGAATCATAATGAAAGTTTGGGCATAAACGAGCAGATAACTCAATATAGATATTAATGGTGATTGATAAATAAGTCAGGTGTTTTGTATGATAAGCCAAAAATGAAAGCCCTGTCATACCGACAACCATGTGACCACAAGGGAAATGCCCTTTTATTTAATTCCGTTTCTCTTGTCAATAACAGTTACAGATGCTTTTTTAAATATCTGGTTAAAAATTGATCCCTCAGAAGCACCAAAATAAGCAAATTACATGAAAATTACAGAGTCGGTTTGATTGAGTCTGTACATGAGGGATAATGAAAAAGTGCAACATCCCTCACGCCCCCTTCGACCTTGAAACCTTCGACTTTCACAAAATTGCCATTTTGTACATATGAAATTCTAAATTTTGAACCATTACTATAGACATTACTACAGCTCATTTTCAGCATTAAATTAAAATGAAGAAGATTTAAGCTTTACTTACTTAAGTATGTTGCAATATGAATAATTGTACAAAACAAGCGATGATAAATGAAGTTATTTCTACGAAATCATGTTAAAAGTGATAGTTTTCATAAAATTTATAGTTGATATTTTGATGGATGAGACTTTGGTAACGTACAAATATGTTAAACGACACAGCAAAAGTCTTTATAACGAGTTACTTTCAGAAGTTGGGTATATTGCCAGGTATAATGTTTGTTCCTATAGATTTTAGGAAAAATAACTGAGTTTGTTCTCTATTATATTTTCTTTAATCCTTGAAAAATTGGTAAACATTGCTAGAATAATGTCAATGTAATTGATGTAACGTATGTTACATTTTGCTTTTAAAATGTCATAAGTGGTTAAGTTTCTTTATTTATATAAGCTAATGTGATATAAATATTATTTGAACCTCTTTTCAATTGTAAATATTATGTATTTTTAAGATAATGAAATTTATACGTTTTTGCATTAATAATATGAGTTGGTGGGGTAATAATCTTGTGTGTCACGAGTGAATAAATAATTAAAAAGACCAAATCTGTTATTGTTCATTGCAAATTCTATTTTTATGAACACCAAATACAAGTTGGCTAAAAAACTACAAATCTATAACAGAGAAAGACAACACAATCGCCACATATTAACCATATAAACGATATTATATTACGATTGTTTTCGCTGGGCAGGTACTCGTAAACTACCTGCCTTAAGTCAAGTTTCCGAAGGTAATTTTTTAGGGTTTTACTACAAGGTCCTTGCACATATTTTTGATTGCAAAATACTAAAGAAAGCTTGTGTTGCAATTTGTTTGATGTCAATCTACATATACTCTTACTTTTAGTGGCCTATTACCAAATTAATAAACTATATAAACTTAAGATATTTCTCCAAGTTCATTTTTAGGTGTAAGCTATAATCCCTTTCACATCAATAACATCACAGAGAATAAATTCAAAAAGAGACTCACATGCAATATTTAACGTCAATCCTTTGCTCTGAAGGGCGCGTGTTTTGTTGTTTGTCCACGCTTCACAATTCAGCATCCATTCGTTTATTGATCTATTTGGATAAAATTGTAAGGTACTTTCAACAGATACAAGTCCAGCTCCGCTAGAAATAATCTGTATTGATGAATTGACAGTAATTTTATGTTTAACGTTATTGTTAGCTTCATAAAGAAACCACCTTGCATTGGGTTGTGGTCGACCAGGTGATGTCTTACACTTGATTGTTTGTCGGGAATGCTCTTTTATGAAACTAGAACTTGGTCCAACCAAGTGCAACGACACGTTTACAACAGGAACTAAAATAGATACAAATTTACAATTACGGATTCATACAAGTAAATCAATCAACAATACATACATCAAAGCCGATTTCGCTTGACAAATGGTACTTGAACTATGTCTAAAAGTGATAAATGCTCCCCGGAAACAAATTTTGGTTTTTAAACAACAGGCACTTTAAGCCGGGTCACAATTTTGAAGCACTAAATGCGAAAACAGACATGTGAATCATTTCTAGAGGCTTTTGTTGTGAATGTCTTTTTATTCAAACAAAGTTATCAATAATAAAGCACAATTCACTAAGGAAACCAGATCCGAAAATTGTATGTTCACGCATGTGTCAATATATTCGAATCATATTTTGTTATCTGTCATAAAACAGTCAGGTTGAGAAATTCGAGTAGGGGTTATGACCTTCAAATTACATTGAACACTCAATACAAATTATTGAATGTTCTTTTTTCTGGCATTATCTTTGTAACCAATTTTGACAAAACACAAATTAGGACATAACCGTAATGTGTATGACTTTTACCTCTTCTTATCTCTGACCCTCAAGAAGCATGCAAATTTTCTTTTTTATTAATTCTAGATGCAACAACATGTGGAACAACATAATTATACTGCCTTTAGTGAATACGCTTTAAAAATGAAATTATTTTTCAGATCTGGTTTCCTTAATCGACACGTTTATTTATTGTATTTCAATCTACCTGGCATCAATTTGCACTATTTTATTTTACTCACATTACATGATGATTATAGTGTAATTGTTTGCACAATTCCTAAAAACAATTCCTTTTCGTCGGATTCATTATGATAATGTATGTGTAATATCGATTCGATTCGTTGACATTTTATAAATTATATTTCTGGTGTATCTTAATTTAATAATTTTCCCACTTAGTCTAGCGGAAACAGAGTTTCTGGTAAAGAAACGTAAGGTTTACGGTAACTTATCATTCTAGGTTGATAAATTTTCGTTGGCAAACTGATTTGGATATTTTAATCGTGGTTAAATTAAATTGTGACTTATTTTAATCAAATGATACATCGTACAACTACCACCGTGGGCCATTTATTGTGTTCTTTTTAGCTTCAAATACTAACGTTTTCCTATAACTAGTTTACTTTTAAAAATGTAGACGATTTTTTTCCGAACATGAATTCAAAATTCTGTATAGTCAAAGGTCTTTTATCGTGATTTCAAAGAAATATAAGATACTAGTATTTCTAGAACATCTTGTAATTTAAAAAAAAATAAAGATAAATTGCTTCGGCAATTATTCAAAAAGAGGACAGAAATGTTCTATAAGTAAACGACATGTGATTTTGTTTTTGTTGCGTTATTATGATGATTTCAGCAGTAAATATGAGGGTTCAGAATTTATAGGTGAAGTGTATTTTCGAAGTGTACAATTTGGTGATAATTATATTACACTTGTATTATAATTGAGCAAAAATATCAGAATGTCATTCCACTTTCCAATGTTCCAGCGACTGATTAACTGTCCATTTACAAGATAAATCAATAATGGTCTGATTGATAACTTACAGTAAAGATTGCTCCAGGCACCCTATTAAAGCATTTTATCTGACACATTTATGTCATGGTAAATTAAAGAATACATTGTTCTAGCTCGTGTGGATTTAATGAACAAGGATCTCTCAAATAACTTAAAGCAAGAGATACTTTTCTAGCAAACTTCTTGAGAGTCAAATACAATTTATAGATCAAAATGTTTTTGTTCCTTGACCGATGACAAGAATTCACATTTCATATACCTGTAATTAATATAATCAGACTCGACATCCAATGACAAAAATGTCACCAATGTAATTCCGTTTCACTCTGATAAACAATAAATAATCATATATTTTTACCGTCTGATCGTATGTGTAGATATGGCAATTTATGTAATAATTGTTTGAAACAATTATCAAAGAACAGAAGGCGCTAAATTTGCTTGGATCTCAGAATGTCAGAAAGGTGAAGGTTGTGAGATTATGCACCAATTTGTTTTTGTAAAGTGTCAGCAATGTTGTTTTCAGTGTTACAACTAGTAAATTGGCAATAAGGCTCATTGCAACACTGATATTCAATTCAATGTTTATTTGGCTTAAACAATTTAAAAAAAGGTTGCCTTATCTGGGATCCGAATCCAGACCTCTTGCTACTTAAGCGAGCGTGTTATCCCTGGACCACGGGGGGGGGGGTATAAGAATCAGCTTGAAGCAAACCATATCATTCTAAATTAAGGTTTGTGTTCATTATTAATTTCGAGATATTTTGTTCACGGTATACACTGATATAAATAATCATGTCCCTGTCCTAGAGTCAACATCCTTACTTTATTCTACAGAAAGTCAAATTCACAAAATTAATGTTCATTTAGGCGATCAGAATAATCCGAAGCTTTATGGAAATAGCCGAGCAATTTTCATTGAGTAAAATGATATTCATCCGCATTACAAAATTATTTGAATATATTACCGGTAATTTGTGGAAATGTTAAAGAATTTCACAATATTAGAAATCTTCGATCAATTGAGAACTACTTTTTTCTTCCCTCAGAGGTTTGACAATAAATGCACCTGTCATTTGACAGTCTTACGCAGTGATCTCCCCTTATTTTTTCGGCGTTAGTGCGCTTATAAAGGGAAGTAACCGCTTCGGGAAATTCTTGATGGACTACTTTCGGATTATCGCAACCATTATTTGTTAGGGTCGTCACAAAAAAAAAAGGTTCATGGTTCATGTTAAGGAACGGTTTGTATTATACGGTTCTTATATCATTGGTCATTTTAAAAGGCTACATGACAGGAAAATGGACTTGTGTATTTAAAAAAAAACGTGAAAATTTGGCGATCCTGTCACCATTTTTTACTTCTGAACAGATCAATGCAATCTAAGTTATTTATAATACTATTGAGTTAACTTGCTTTTGTTCTCGTTCAAAGGAAATAAAAGAAAGGTATACTATCCAAAGAGACAGGTGACATATGCTGGAAGCTAAAAAGCTCTTTCAATGTAGCGTACTATGATGCAGAAGATGACTCTTTACAACATAATCTGCTACATATATGAAACACATAATGGTTCATAAGGCTGATGACGTTGTAACCTATTTTTTATACAACCCGATAAAAAAATGCACTTTTCTGTGTTTTTGGTGTGTATGTTATTTATTTTATATCTTGTCAGATTATATTACTTCAGTTTAATCATCATTTCAATGATTGTAATGGCAGCCAAATCCACATGGACAGCTACATATTGTTGCGGTTCGCTTTGTCCAGTAATGGCAAAGGAATGCCTTAATGTATGTTTACACAAATATAGTTGTTTCGAGCAAGTGTTAGAAACATCCTTAAACCCATTACAAAAATTGCCATGTAAACATAAAAAACAGGATTACAATGAAGCATTCAGTGTTTAAATATTTAATTGTTCAAAGAGTAAGAAAGTAAGAATTCCCGATTGGTCAAATTGAATTTGTAAATAATAGCAATATTTCGGCTATATCCGTCAGAATCTAGATCCGTCAGAATCTAGATAGACTGTAATTAGGTATGATTGATAATTGGTGAGGTGTTTAGAAGCTAAAGGACTAGCAAAATTTCGATTCACGGTTCACTCGGTTATATTGTATTGCTCTTTGATATTGTCGCTCTGGTGTTGACTGTTATTTCTTTCGAATTATGAAATCGAAAAAATGTATGCTGAAAACAATAATCAATGTATACAGTTTATATTATTTACGATTAAAAACGCAATGACTTGTTCGTAATGAAATATATTGTTTTATGATATTTTCTGATTTTTCATGCTACCATATGATTCACCTCAATATTAATTTTTCGTTGAAGTAAAGTCATTTCTTTAAGCGTAGCATGCGCAAAATAATTTTTGAAGACGGAAAGATGGTTGCCACAAGCAATCATTCTCAATAAAATTAGGTGATATTTTTAGAGGTCGTATGACACCTCCAATGACGTGAGATAAAAGGGTTACAATTAAGGTAGACCATGGGTAATGCATTACCTCTACTTTGAAGAGTATTCAAATAGGCTAGAATCACTTGCCCACTACATTGAAATTGAGGGGCGTGGGTTCAAACCCCAGAAGGGGCAACTTTTTTTTCTTTCTTTCTTTTTTAACATTTTTTATGTATCTCTCTGATCTCTTATGGAAGAAAAAAGGGTTTGATTTAAATTATATAATATTTATTTGCTCGTTATTCCAAAATTTATAGCAAATATGATACCAGATATTTTCAAAGTTTAATAAAATAAAAAATACACGGTAAAATTATTTTATATTTGGCATGATCAACCAATAAACATTTAAGAAAATTTAGGCAAACTTTGAAATCAGCCCCTCATTATGGTAAATTCAAGTTTTTTTGTTTTTTTTTAAATAAGGCACTTTAGATAGGGAAATGGTAACATTAGTGTTTAAAGTAGGTGTGGTAGGGTAACATTTTTATACTTATTAAGAACATTTTGTTTAGAAACAAACATTTTGTTTGTGTAATTTGTTACCTGAATGTTATTATTTGTTTCTTAAAAATGAGCAATAGAAAAACATTTTTTATAATGTTGATATTACCGATTATTTAAAGTTTCCTCGTTTCTGAAAATAAGCCCTTTTTATGGCAAAATCTTAGTTCACAAATATATCCATAACTCATAAACCACACGGTCAATCTTTTTAAAATTTTGCATACAGGTGACATTGAAGACATATAACTGTCCTATGTTGTCAATTTTACAGTTCCTTATGGTGCCCATTACCCATGGTCTACCTTAAAAGCAAAATATACTTTTTTATGTGTTAATTTCCCGAAAAATATCAATCGAAATTTGAAAACTCAACTCAAACGGTCTCAACAATTTGTATTGATAACAAATTGTTATACATGTATTAAAGGAAGCCCCTAAACTTACTTAATTGAGAAGCATATTACCATTTGCTATAAAATGTCGGTACCATATGTACTGTCGCTTCGAGCTAGCCCGCATAGCTCAATCGGTTAGAGTGCAAGACTTGTAATATTGACATTGTGGGTTCGATCACATGCACGATTAAAAAGATTCCGCTTCTTAGTTTAATGAATCGGTGCCTTTAAAGTTTACACGGTAGTCATAAATACATTTGTTACTAAATTAATTGGAATGTCTTAATTCTACAAGAAAAAAGCATAAAACCGTTTGGTTTGGTAATTTATACGAGTGTTTACTACTTCGTTACTTATTTGTTTTGGCAAAAGACCGCTCTCAAAGCTTATGAAGTTCTTGATGATTTTTAGTAAAATTGTTATGTCAAACTTGAATACTCAAAAACTAAAAGCTTTAAACAGATGTTAATAAGTTTCAACGAGCCCAATGTCTATCCATTTTATCTTAAATCAATCCCGTGTTTTTAATCAAATGCAGGTCGGAAATGGCAAAAATCCAAATCAGCTCAGAACGCTTACATACAAGTGTTCATACAATTCGAGATTTGGATTTGTTTATTTTAAAATTAAAGCTCTGGAGGATTAATCATAACAAAACCATCAAAAAAATCAGGGTGAGCTTTTAGGATCGATGATTGTCCGTCGTCCGTCGTCCGTCCGTTGTCCGTCGTCCGTTCACATTTAGTTGTTAACACTCTAGCGGTCGCATTTTTCACTCAATCATCATCAAACTTGGTCAGGATGCTTACCTAGTTGATAGCTTGGATGAGGTCGAACATGGGTCATCTTGGATGAGAAACTAGGTCACAAGAGCTAAAAATAGAAAAACCTTGTTAACACTCTAGAGGTCACATTTTTGCCTCAATCATCATCAAACTTGGTCAGGATGTTTGTCTAGGTGATAGCTCGGATGAGTTTGAACATGGGTCATCTCGGATGAAAAAGTATGTCACCGGAGCTAAAAATAGAAAAACCTTGTTAACACTCTAGCGGTCACATTTTTGCATCAATCATCTTCAAACTTGGTCAGGATGCTTATCTAGTTGATAGCTCAGAAGAGTTCGAACATGGGTCATCTCGGATGAAAAAGTAGGTCACCGGAGCTAAAAATAGAAAAACCTTGTTAACACTCTAGCGGTCACATTTTTGCATCAATCATCATCACACTTGGTCAAGATGCTTGTCTAGGTGATAGCTCGGATGAGTTCGAACATGGGTCATCTCGGATGAAAAAGTAGGTCACAGGAGCTAAAAATAGTAAAACCTTGTTAACACTCTAGCGGTCACATTTTTGCATCATCATCATCACACTTGTTCAGGATGCTTATCTAGTTGATAGCTCGAATGAGTTCGAACATGGGTCATCTCGGATGAAAAAGTAGGTCACCGGAGCTAAAAATAGAAAAACCATGTTAACACTCTAGAGGTCACAATTTTGCCTCAATCATCATCAAACTAGGTCAGGATGTTTGTCTAGGTGAAAGCTCGGATGAGTTTGAACATGGGTCATCGCGAATGAAAAAGTAGGTCACCGGAGCTAAAAATAGAAAAACCTTGTTAACACTCTAGCGGTCACATTTTTGCATCAATCATCATCAAACTTGATCAAGATGCTTGTCTAGGTAATAGCTCGGATGAGTTCGAACATGGGTCATCTCGGATGAAAAACTAGGTCACAGGAGCTAAAAATAGAAAAACCTTCTTAACACTCTAGTTGTCACAATTTTGACTCAAATTGTCATCAAACTTGGTCAGGAAACTTGTCTGTTCATTGCTGGGAATAAATCGAGCATGGGTCATCTCGGATGAAAAACTAGGTCACAGGAGCTAAAAATAGAAAAATATTGTTAACACTCTAGTGGCTACTGTTGTAAACCAAATATTCTCTTAATTGGTCTGAAAGTTTGTTTTGATGATTTCTAAGTCAAGATCGAACATGGGTCATCTTGGATGAAAAACTAGGTCACACCGCCCAAATATGGAAAAACCTTGTTAACATTCTAGTGGTCACATTTTCGACTCAATTATCATCAAACTTGGTCAGGATGCTTGTCTAGGTAATTGCTTGAATGACTTCGAAATCACATGTGAAACTAGGTCACCGGAGCTAAAAATAGAAAAATCTTGTTAACACTCTAGTTGCTACTGTTTTGATCCAAGTATCCTGGAAATTGGTCTGAAAGTTTGTTTTGATGATTTCTAGGTCAAGTTTGAATATGTGTCACCTGGGTAAAAAACTAGGTCGCACTGCTCAAATATGGATACTCCTTGTTAACACTGTAGTGGTCACATTCTTTGACTCACCTGTCATGAGATTTGGTCAGAATGCTTGTCTAGGTAATTGTTTGGATGAGTTTGATGAGTCAGGTGAGCAATCTAGGGCCATCATGGCCCTCTTGTTAGATAATATGGTCATCTTGTCTAGACGACTATAACTATTGAACTAATTTTAGCAATTTAAAAGGAAACTAACGATAACTTTTGTATAGTTTTATCACTATTGACCACACGACTGAAAAAATGTTATTTAAACCTTGTTTCTATTTAAAACTCTGAAAACAATCTGGTGATCAGCAGACAAAACCAAAAACGTTTGTTAAGGGCTACATAATGATCTTTTCTACACCGTTTTTTCCTTGCATATCAGATTGTTGTTCCATGCCGGAAATTTAATCTGGCATCGTGCTGCCTGATGAATCGCGAGCTATACAATGGCGTCATTCTAACGCATTGTATTAATAAACCGACTTAAAATGGCATCATTTTTGCGTATTGAAGAATGACCTGCATGCTAAGGATAACTTAATTTCGCAGTTATGAATATAGTTGTAATTTTATACGCTGTTGTATAAACATAGTTACGGGTGTTATGACATAAATGTCCATAGAAAATTATTTTATTGAGGTATATTATATTACATATTTTTATGCAACGTATGTCTGCGGTTCAGATCGGAATATCCGTCCTTTTGGAACATGCCCATAGACGCAACTTGGCAAGACTCGTTTCTGCCCAATGCGCGGGTCCCTCGGACGAATATTCCGATCCAAACCACGACATATGACAGATATCATTTAGTAAATTCTGTTTTTCAGGAGGAGATGTCTTTGAAAAATTTTTTTATCACTTTTAATATCTGATGGTCATCTTGTTCCATGGACTTAAAACATTTTAACATATTATATAGATAAACAACCATCTAAAGGCCGTTTCTGTTTAGTTGTTTTCACATTTACTAAGTGATGAATTATAATGTGTTCTATTTTAACTAGTCAATTCGAATGTATGAACTAAGACGACTATTTAAAATGGTACCCATGAATCGAATAAACATTGATATATAATCAGAAAAGGTTTCATATTCATTGATTAAAATGATATTCATTCGAGTAACAAAATTATTAAGCATTTACACTGTTAAACAACTTCTATATAAAACTATCGTTGTCACAAATACTATAAGTAAAATTGTTAACATACCTTCCATTTAAGACTAATTCTCTTTTAATAATATTTATTTTTGTTTCTAAATAAAACATCTCTAAATATTAAAAGTCATTGTTGATAAAATCTAACGGAAAGCCAAAATGTTTTCATATCATTAGATCAATATAGTACTTCGTTACAGTTTTTACATTCTTTGAAGAAACTTCTTCGGGTAAAAAATACAAAGATAGATAAAAATATGTACGACTGAATTTTAAAAGTAGCATTAATGTATTAGGAGAGGTATATCATTCGGTAATAAGACAATTTAAGGAATACTAGGAGTAGTTTCCATTTTTATACAATCTCATGTAAATATGATCAAGCTTTAATATAAATGTTGGCGAATTTAAGATAATGCACTAAAATAACTGTTCATTTTCTTATAAGAAAGTAAAAGTACGTAAACTCTAGGCTTACCTAAAATTAAAATTATATATATCAAACTATATCGTGAATTGTCTATTTAGAACTCCATAATTGTCTAAAACATATTTTAAATCTTGAAAACATAAACATGTTTAATTTGATTAAATTTTCTTTACTCACCTTTGACGAAAATTGTAACAGTATTACTCTTCCTGTCACGGTCAAAGCATTCCCACTGCACATTGTGATTATCAAGCTGTACAAATAATATTGTTACGGAAAACGATGTGTCAGACGGACATCCAACTCTGTAAATGTTGTTATCAGCAAAAAGTCCACCACCACTGCAAGTGCCATCTTGATGTCTTACTATATTAGGTGTATATGTATTGTCTATATTCCATCTTATACCAATGACTTCACCATATCCGATGTATGTGCAAGTAAATGTTAAAGTCTCGTTTATATCAACAAAGGCTTGTGTCGGGGTTAAAAGTATACTTTGACAAATAATACCTGAAATATATATACATTTACATATAAAGATGCCAACTCGTATAAGCAAAACATGTCAACTCGTCTGTCTAACATATATGAGATAAATGTGTATTTACAACCTCAACATCAATTCTTAAAATCTACAGAATTTTATTATTTGTAAAGAACAGAATATATATTTGTATCAACTTTTCACGTTCAATTTGTAAAATGATAAAATAACTATAAAGAAAATGTTATTTAAATAGTTATCAACTGATAACTTTGTTACATAAAGTATAAGCATTATATGTTTTTTACAGTTTCTAGGAGACTATAAATAAATCATTTCCGTATATACATATATTCTGGACAACATCATCAAGTGCATAAACTAATTACTATGAACATATTAAATCAAACCAAGTCAATATTTAGTAACGTTAAAATAGAATTGGTATTTTTATTAAAACGTTAAACATACAATTTACCTGTATAGACAGAAAAGAAAAAAATAAGATATCAAAACAAAACAAAAAACTGGTTCTATGTTGCTTGAACTTGATTGGGGCTATGTTCATTGAATGACGCCTTTCCTTTTTTATCTTTGTTCCTATACTCACCATAAAAAAAGTGCGCAGTAAGGAAGCTCACATATAATACCCAGCGTTTCATTTCTTAATTGATAATATGTCCTAGGACGGCTATACACTAACCTTAAAAGATTAAAAGAATATGTGTTAAATAAACTTCTTAGAAAAACATCCGAAACAATGATTTTGTCCTATACTTTTACATCGGAAATATAATACTCTAATCAATAATGTAATTATATGATATCAAACAAGTTTATAAATTCACTTAAGCCAGCAGGAATCAATTTTTATATACCAAAGAAACTAATTTTATCTTTTAAAAAACAACATTAATTTTATTTTCTGGTGCACATTTTCGCTCAAACCGGTGCATGGGTGCTTTATTAAGTGTAAGAGGATTTCCTACTCGGTGGTACACTGCCTGGACGAAGAACAATATCTTACGGTCCCGTCCTGAAAGGGCCATTCCTTACCGAGTCTGTGCCACTTTTTTAGGTTATTATTTCATGCAATGTGTTTGTTATTTCGTAAAAAGAGGACTGGATTCGCAAATTTAACAATTAACTTTCAAATTGGTAAATTTTAAAAAGGGAGTTCCACCAGAAGCCATGGTGCCAAGACGGTAGACATTTTTTAACCAGTTCCCTCATTAAAAGTTCTCATCATGACAATCAAGCGTGCATCATTTTACTGAGTTTATATAATGTTCATTTGATTTATCGATATATACACACAAGCACTTGATATCTCACTATTTAAGTTGGTGTTTCTTTTTTATAAATTATAGTGTCGTTCGACAAAGGGTGCTGTGATTTGTGGTTTTGATTATGTTTCAGTGTTGATAAGTGGCGATGTCATTTTGATAGCTGGTGCTGTGGTTTTGGTAGATAACACTGTGTTTTTGTTTTTATAGATGTTGATGACATTTTGATAAATGGAGAGTGATGCCAGTTTAGTATATGGTGCTGTCATTTTATATAATTATGGTGCTGTGGATTTTAAACATGATGATGTCGTTCTGATAAATGGTGATGTCGTTTTGATATATGGCGATTTGGTTTTGATAAATGTTGATACAATTTAGGTATATGGCGATGTGGTTTTGATAGGTGGTGCTTGGTTTTCAATAATGGTGATGTCGTTTTGTTTTGTGGTGATGCAATATAATACATCAGAATGGTTTTCTTCAGTTTGTATTAAAATAAATTGAGATACATGTATATGCATAAATATGCAGTCACATAACAAATATAATATCAAGTTTAATAAGAGGTAACCTTGTGAAACCCTCACTTTACTTATGTTGTTTTGTTGTTAATTTAACTTTTCTTTGCAGACGAAAGATCCTAAAACACTCTTACAACGTTAAATGTTTCCACTTGTCAGCTTTAAAACTTGGATAGTACCCTTTCCTAAGTTGTTTTAAAGAAAGTAATATGTTGTACTGAAGTTTCTTTCCGTCTATACTAAATTACAGTTTTTGTGATTAATGCTTGTTTTGGTAATAATGTATGTAACATTTGTCGATAAGTCAATTATACATGCTGAAAAGTGTTGACCAGTATTGTCGCATTAATATATTCATTAATGCCATGTTTCCTAAATGTCTACCGACTAGTCCCTTGATTTTTCTCCCTCTAAAATAGTGTGCTATACAAAATTTCTAAAAAGTAACATACCAATATTTTGCAAAGAAGCTCATTTCATTTTATAACAGAATTTAGAATTTCAAAACTCAATAACGCAAAGAGCTAGTAAACTTACATGGTATATCGGTGCATCATTTTATAAATCAATCGATCAAACGGCAAACATCAAGTATCATGTAACGGCTATAAAACGGTCATAATGAGGTACCCTCTGCGCAAAATAGTCCAAGTCATCAGAATGTCAGTAACGGAGGGTCTAACATATTGGATTCTAATCTTTAAAGAGATGACCAGTATAATATGGCTGATTATAATCCTTATAGCACTCTTGACGGCAATTTTTTATCACTTATAAGTTATTATAGTTATAACTTATTTTCATATGTAAAGTATAACAATAGCAACGCAACTGGTGTAAAGCTACTTAGCTGACGTTCAGGCAAATAATAAAATAGACATTAGTGGGATATATGAATCTGGTTGTTTAAGCCCGTCTCACACAAAACACGGTTGGGCACACGATTTCCCATACGGTATACTCGGTTATACACGGGTTGACTGGTACGAGTTTTGAGCTCCATCCGTTCCTGGGGATTAGTTGGCACGAATTTAACTCGAATATAGCACGAGTTTGTGCGAATTGAGCACGGATATACTCGGTCAAGCAAGGTTTGAACACGATTTGCATACGAATACAAACGACTGTTGCACGGTTCCAAGTACGGTCTAGTACGGTCTGGTACGATTAAACACGACTTTTACTCTATTTACTCGACTTTCACAGGGTTTACCTAGGGTTCCGCCGACTTTTGTTCGAGAAATGCTCGAAATATCACACATTTGTGTATGTTTTGATATAAATAAACCCATTTTGATGACTTCGCTTCATAAATTTTCGAAATTTAAACGAAGAACATCTATATATAGAAAATGAATAAAAAGGTAAAGCAATGTAAAATGTGTCTTCTAATCTTTGGTGCAGCGGTTGCTGGAGGGCCCACCGAGCTGGCATTGGAGTCTGAATCCCTGGGTATTGCCGGTTGGTACTCCAGCTCATCAGGGTCAATAAGTTGGAGTGGTCGGTGGGCCCGGATGGCCCTTCTAGTATTCATTCTGTGCGTCCAAACCTTCTTCTTTGGATACATTCCAGTGTGAATCAGCAAGTATTCTTGGTAGGGTGGCAGCAGGTCGTTGTGTTTTTTTGTACCGTTCTTGCTGACGTTTTTGTACCGTTCTTGCTGACGTAGAGGCCGTGTAAGACCTTAAGAGGCAGTGTGAGACCTTGTATACCCGTACTATACCGTGTCGGTCATGGATGTTTCGTACATGAACCGTATTGGTCGTATGGCGTTCGTATGAAACCGTGTGTGCCTAGTTTGAATCGTACCGTGATCTTGTGATATTCGGGTGTTAATCGGGTGTTGGATGTAGGACTTGGGGACGGTCTCGAACGATTCCATACGATTTATATACGACCTTGATATGGTTGGGCTCACTCGTTGAGTGGACTTCACATACGACTGTATATACGGTCTCATACGGTCTCACACGGTCTTTTACTGACTTGTACGGTCGCTTATACGGTCACACACGGACATGGCATCCGTACCAGTTTTTTTAAAAGTTTTAAAAATCATACACGGCTTACACGGATACACTCGAATGGCCCGAGTGTAACTCGGATAACGCTACGGTTCGGTTAAATGTACGGTTTATACAGGTGGCTAACCGTATAAGCCGTGTGTCCTGTGTGAGATGGGCTTTAAACGGTATTTACATTTTTATAAGAAAGCATTTACTCTGAATAATTAAGTCGTGATATATGTCATTTCGATCTAGATATTTGTTCAACGAGAAGAGAAGGCAAGGGAGGCCTTATTCTCTTGTGGCATAAACATTTGAATACGGACATGTTATAATGTAAATCTTATAATGCAAATTTATTGATTAGTGATGTATTTTAACCCATATATTTTTATGTTCATGTCATTTCAACTTCATGTATAATGTATGTGTAATTTGTAATTTTTATATTTTTCCTTAAAGGTAATGTGATCATGTTTAATATCACAATGATCATCTGTTTTTTATACGAATCATTAATTACGGTAAATTGCAAGTTGATTTCAATAACGAACTTTTTCTGAAAATTGTTTTTAAACTTAAAAAATTTCTCATTTAATAAAAACACCTCTAAGAAAAATTCTTTGAATACAAAATGGCATTTTAAGTATTCCTGCTTAATAGTGACACTGATTAGTTATAATTAATCTCAAAGGCTTAAGCCCAAGCCAAGCTGTTTATTATACAAACAAGGAAGTCGGTGTGATAACTTGTCACAAAATAAAAATGATAAAAGGTGATTTGTTAATAACTAATGTTTACAAAGTTAATGAAAATGTCTTCCTGTAATATTTTACCTTGTTCAAGGAAAATATCAAGCTATCTGCTATAATAAGAAATATTGTATCGACTTTAATGTATTGCCTTGATATTTCTTAAGTATAAAAAAGCATTAACAAAATATAAAATATAAGTATAGAAAATTTAAATCTAACATGCATCATTTATCAATTATTGTTGCTAAATCTGAAAATTTATATCAGGCTAAATTTTTGTTACATTAATTATTTTATACTAATTTCTTAAAATCTAAATTCTTAATTTTTATATGCAAACAATGCGTTTTTTATCCGATTAATTATTTTGTTCTTTAAATGCATTTTAAATAAATTGATATTGGTCAATAAAACAAGATAATTCTGCTAATTTCTATATTTTAATTAAGTACCTAATAGCTCGGGTTAAGTCATCGACCAAGATCTCGGTATACATTTTCACTGCCAAGCTAGTAAATTTTGTTTGTTTGTTTGGATTTTAACGGCACGTCAACACATAACTGGTCATATCGTGCCGACTTAAAATGTTATGTATAACTTTGTAAATGACAATAAAAATGAGCAAATTAGATCCTAGAATACGAGTCTATCTCTTTCAACTTTTCAAATAATCAATGATGTTTTTGATGGGATTGTATTAAAGAGTTCTTTGAGTAATTTACAGAATAAAATCTATTAAGGGCCTGTGAAAAATCATGACATTCAAAAAGAAAATGCTTGACAGTAAAATTTTCATTACAACCTACACAGAAAGGGGCATTGCAATTCGTGAGGAGATAAGAGTGGGTAATTTTAGTGTGTCCAATTCGACATCGTAGAAGACCTGTTTGATCATGGCGGTTTGACAGAGATAGAGATGGTGACACATCAAGAGATGGGTTTATATCGTGAAGTTTATTAAAGACGGCATTGTCCTAATTTGCTTTCCATTCAGATGATACGAGTTTATTTATAGCCGGTCTTAAGAAGTCACAAGCAGGTAACAATAAGTCAGTTTTTTTTTAAATTTAATGATTGTTTAGCTAACGCATCTACTTTTTCATTTCCTCGTATACCTACATGACTTGGAATC